ACTGATGATGTGGCAGTTATTGAATTTTAATTTACATACTATCAGACACGCTTTAAATTTATTTTTAATTCTCTAACTAATAAAGAGAAACCATAAATATTAATTAATTATAAAAGGTTTATTAATTGAAATACTAAGTTATTTAATAATATATATATATGATTGATAGTAATTATTAATAAACGGAAAAGTTGTATCAGTTTTTATTAATATTATTTTTTATCCTCTTTAATTTGTTTGTAATATACTGCTTTCTTTAATTTCACTTTGATTATTTTTTTACACTTTATGCAATTAAAGTTAGTTTTTAAATAAAAAATCTACTAATTTTATTTTTAAAGTTTAATTTAAATTGATTAAATAAAAAATTTAGTATTTAATGTAATAAACTTCCGTGATTTACTTTTACAATCATATACTATCGTACTACATGTTGTATTATTATGTATTTTAAATCTACTTGTTGACTTTTAATTATCGTGCACTGTAACTATCGTCTCAATTAATCGGAATTAATCAGAGAAATTAATCAAGGAAGTGTCGTTGGTAATTAACATACGTACTAATTGATTAATCAGATTTAAAATAATTTAATAATAATAATAATGAAAAATGACTGTGAGTCGGATAATCTAGATCTGAGTATGCAACGATATTATTCGGTGTTAGTTTAAAATTTTATAGACCTAAATAAGAGTACAGAGAATACTGAAGAGAAGGATCGACTGGATAACCGATAATGTCCGGAGGTCCCTATTACGCCGCTGTAGAAGACGATACAAGTTAAACTTTTACGGATTCCTGTCGCCTTTTCCTTAACCAGTCTGGTTCAACAAATCGGCATTAAAGGAAGCCGCGTGAGAATAAATTACAAATGCTACCGCTTCTCTTCTTTATTCACTCTTTTCTTACATACTTCTTACACTTAACTTTACTTCTTGTTCGTTCATTCGTTTGTTTTTTTTGGTCTTGTTTTTCTCAGCATCTCCTTAACTTCTCTTTGCGCCTTTTTTAACTCAAACCAATCTGCTTTGGGTTCTTTTGCAAACACTGTTCAACGTAACGACTGTAAGACCTTAGGATAAGAACACTTGTGGTGTTATGTGCTTTAACCGAGAAAATAATTTACCCTGATCAACATGTTGATAACAAAACTCAACGGTACCGTTCGATTTACATTTTACAAATTTTTTTTTATCATTTTAAATGTACTGACAAAAAATTAACAATAAATAATAATTAAGAAAACTATTTTAGAAAAAAAAAATAAATGGATTAAGCTAAAAAATTCGAGGGATAATTAGAACCCGATAAAAATATTTTGATATTCAAATGAACTACTATCTGGAATTTTTTAGTTAATTCAAAACAAAAATTTAAATATGTAATTGATTAAAAAAAAAAAAAAATATCTTCTATGTAAAATAACAACACAAGACTCAATAAAAACCAATAGCGCAAAAGATAAGAGAAGAATAATGAAATTGACTCACCAGATTTGCCGACTCTGGGGCCGCCGAGGACGACCACCCGGATCCTGTTGACGTTGGTCATCCCAAATCTTCTTCAGGTATCATTAGAGCCACTTTTACACATAATAGATACAATAAATTCATCAATAAAATCACTTTACACTCTAAAATGATAAACTTTTAACAATAAATCACAGTGTGACAGTTGAGTTTTAAAACACACAAAAAAAAAAAAATAAATAAATAACAAAGTTTGTTTATTTTATCCGGAATGCAGCAATCGGGCAATCGTACGTACTAAAATACCGCTTTGTAATTATTTCTACGGCACCAACACCGAAGGACTCGTCATCATCATTATCATCATCATAATTATTTTCATGATAATAATATTGGTCGTGGTGTCGCTAAAGTTAAATTATAACTTCCTCATCCTCATCCTTCAGCTTGAGAATAAGCAGTATTTTCCCTCCTCTTGGTTCTTTTTATTTTGATTATCACATAAATTTTTATTTATCCCTCACTATTCAAGTATTATATATATTTTTATAACCAGCAGGTTGAACGTGAATCAAGATGAGGTGTCTTTCTCGGATGAAGCTCACTATAATACATTATTTTCCTTCTATCCGGTCAGAGGGCCAGAGTTTATTCTCAACAAAACTCCAGAGTGGTCTACAGAGTTAAACCCACTGTATAATACTGAGTAACCAGGTAACAGCACTAGCACTAGCAGAAGCAGTCTGTCTTTCTTAAAGAGCAATCACCTGGAGCTGTGATGAACCTGCGGTCGAGGAATAACTCCAACTATCCTCGGATCTTTTTTTTTTATTTATTATTTATTTAATATTACTTTTTCTTCATACTCTTACTCTCAAGCACGTGCACAAGATCTCAAGGAATAATCCAAGAGGCATCTAGACCACAAAAGGCCTTACGTTAATTCTTTCAGTCTTTCAATGTGACAGGAATAATTTAAAACCCGAATAATAATTTAAATTAACAACAGCAGCAGCAGCAGCAGCAGCAGCAGCGACTTTAGTAGCCCTCAATATTAAGTTCAATGACATCTACTCAATCAGCAAATATAAAACAACGTAATTCTCCTCTCTTGTCCTTATTCTTCTGAATTAAATAATAATAATAACTGATAGATATTTAAAAGTTCTTGGTGTGTTATGCTTTGAATTTAAAATTAAAAAAAGATAAATCAGACTGGTAGTTTCTCACGATAAAGGTGTAAAACACTCGTGGAATCTCGTAATAGACAGTGAATCGTCGTTCGTCACGTTGTCCGACTGTAACTTCTGAGGCGCCACTTCGACCTCGGTATCTTCTGATTCTCTTGTTGCTGTTATTCTCTCGCTCAAACTTGTACTATTGCATACTACCCAGTACGACGACCAGTTAATAAGTACATACTACAAATACACAAACACAATTACACGGTTTTATGTATGTATATATAAATATTAACAGATGAATTTTGCTGTCGAGTATTGAAGCACTGAGTATGACTGACATCAACCGAGTAGATGAGAGTAGAGTAGTACAAGAAGTAAAGGAGTGAGCCGTTGCTCTTGGTCGCGGCTTCTTTCACTTTCTCTGAATCCTTCACTCACATCAAGCTTCAGGAAACACTCTTCTGGTTAACACTGTTACCAAGAGCTGTTAAATGGAACGTGCTTATCCCAAAATATTTGATAAATTTTCCTGGTGAGGTTTATTATTATTTACACACATAGTCTTCCATTTTCTGAAACAAATTAAATTTATTTTATTTTTACACGTTAAATAATTTAAAAGCAAACGCAAATGTTACCAGACGTCTAAAAATTTTTGATTTTTTTTATTAATTAAATTACAACTAAAAAAATATTTATAAAAAAATGCACTTATAGTTTTTCAAGTTTTTTACATGTGTATTTTTTTTTTTTTTTAATTGTTTCAATCAAAAATTTTGAAATGTCGGCTAACTTTATTTTCATTAAAAGCAAATGTGTCAAAATTAAAATTACTCCAATTTATTAAAAAAAATTTTAAATAAAAATACTTGACAGAAAATAATAAATTTAACTGTTGTTATCAAACAAGAGAGCAAACACTGAGAGTGTGACACAACTCCCAATGTCAATTATACGCTTTGATAATAAACATTGTTAAACGCGCGTGTTATCAATTAAACGTCAGCGGTTTTATCAAAAATAATTATTTACCTAAATAAGTTAAGTTTAATCACCTTATTATTTTATTGTATTTAACAAAATTCACTACACTCACAATTATAAATTCAACTGACAGAAATATTTTAGTAAACAAATTAGTAATGATAAATCAATTGTTGAAGTAATATAAATGAAATTGAATGACATACTACTCACGGCGAGCTCTCGCCCGCGAATGCGAGCATTCGTCTCGGTACACCGTCTAATATGCACACTACCGGCTACATGCTACACGGTACGACGGTACACGCGTTTTACTTGGCGCATCAAGACCAAGAGAGCGCCGTCGCAACACCTACATACACTACATATAATATAATAACTATTTTATATTCATATTTTCGAATTATATTATTATATTATTACACATACACCTTATACACTGAGTTGAGTAACATTATTCCTCGCCGTGAGACAATTAATAATTTTTATCAATTACATAATTATCTTCAATAAATATCGATAGACATTTTAATTAATAATCACTTGTAATACACCTCCTGTTAATTGATTGTTGTAATTAGCAGTTACTGATAACGCGAGTCTATTACAAGTTGTTACGTTTTTAGAGAGCTTGTTTTATAGTTTATTAATAATTTTCATTTAAATAATTATTATAATTGGATATTTTTATCGGAGGAATGATGCAAGTGAGTATTAAGTAAATTAACATGAATTTATGGAAATAACGGGATTGTTTAAAAAATATTACACAGGAAGAGAAATGAAAACAATCATTGGAATTTTTAAAATAATGTTTGTTTTAACTCTTCCTGTCATAATAACAATAAATTTCACTTTTTATTTTTTAAATTATGAATTCTTTACTCACTAATCAATTATTTGTAATTTTATCTTTGTTTACACTTACATTTAACTTTATATTACTATTATGATTGTTTTAGTGACATTTCTACTGAAGTAATAGTCTTCATTAATTTTTTTTAGATGAAACTATTTAATTAATTAATTTATACTGATAATATAAATATTATTTTCTATTAATTGTGATTAAAATATTTTTATAATGATTAATATTTATTTTTATATTTTTGATAATTTAATTTTAACAAAAAATTTAAATTTGTGCTGAAAAATATGGATCAGCTGATTTAAAAATAAATAACATACAGCGCCACTAGGAAATTTCACATGAAAACAGTCACTAAGCCCCCGGGAATTTTTAAAAATAGTTACCATGACAACGCAAAAAATTAGATATAAATAGATTGACATAACTTGAATGTTAATAATTTTCTCATTAGTGCTAAATATTTTAATTAAACAAAAATAAAAATAAATTTGAAAGAAAAAAACGAAATTTAAAATGGGTAAACCGGAAGCTGAGTTGCTTACTAAAATAAACTCATCCGAAAAGAGGTCATTGTTGAGCAGGTATAATATTCCAATTGAACACCTGTCGTACGAATACATTACCGAGTGCAACAACACCAAGTATCTCGAGAGAATTGTTTTAATATTGAGGTGGGTAAATATAACCTTACTCATTAAATAAAATTATAAATTTCTGTGAATTAAATATTGATTATTGTTGTTTATAATTAGATCTGGCGAAGAAGGTTACTATCCGGAGTTGATAAAACACGCCGAAATTAAATTAGCCTCAATTTTTCCCCAAAGTATGGTTTTAAGAGAACCTCAACCAATAATAAAACAGAAAATGCTGGAAAAGGATAAACAAGAGGAAATTGATTGTGAAATGGATACTTGGATAAAGCAAATGAATTTGAGGGAAAAAGATTTAGAGGATGGTAAAAATTTAAATAATAATCAAGATATTCCTCAGCCGGATATTCGTAAAATAATTCCAAAGTCGAAATCAACGTCCGATGATTTGGGAAATGAAAATAAAGGAAATATAAATAGAATTAAATCATTCGATTACGCTGCATGGGATAAATATGATGCTGATACTGAGTTGAACAAAATAGATTTACAGGAGGAACAAAGACAAGCTAAATTTAAAAAATTACAGCATGATAATGAAAAGATGGCTCAAAAATTTTCACAAGATGAAATTGTCAACAATTGTAAGTATTTTTTATAGAAGTGTCTATTCACTTCTAAAAAAATCCTGATAAATCCACGCAGCGTGAATATAAGGACCTTTATATTCACTCAGCGTGGATTAAGAGAGAAATAATATCAACTTTAAGTTACCAAATTTTATACAGTATGAAAATTCGTTTGTTATTACTGTAATTCGCTTGTGGAAGCAATTGCCTGCTGATATTGTAGATTCTGCAAGCTTGGAGATTTTTAAAAATAAGATATATGACTTCTTATTTAATCTGGACATTTAACACTCTTTTATTTAAACTTTATTATTACTTCTAAATTTTGTCAAGCCGTTGAGCAAATTGGTTAAATCGGAATGATGTTTTTTATTTTATTTATTTTTTTTTAATTTAGAATAGATTATAATTAAATAGTTACTTTATCAAATACTAATATGATTAATAATAATTATACTAGTCAATATTATTAATTTATCACTCTAATTGTATACTTTTTATTATTTCTGTATGTATATATGATGTATTTTTTATAAGTTGATTTTTTTAAGCGTGGATTTATCAGGACTTTTTTTTACGTATGAATAGACATGTCCATTTTTTATCATGAAATAATTGAATTGATTTATTTATTAATAGTTAATGTGTTTTTCAGTAACGCTTTCTGGAACGGAGTTGAATATAATGGCCGAGCGTGAACGTGAAAAGGGGAATGAAGCCTTTCGTGCTGGTGATTATCATGAAGCATTAACGTTCTATAATTCTAGTTTATCTATTGATTCATCGATAAATGGATACAATAATCGAGCAATAACATGTAAGTATTTAAAACAATTAAAAAAAAAATTTTTTATAATTAATAAAAACAATTATTGTTTAGATATAAAGTTAAAAAGATTCAAAGAAGCTGTCGATGATTGTAACATGGTCTTGGAAATAGAGCCAACAAATATAAAAGCTCTGTTACGAAGAGCTTTTGCCACTGAAAACATCGGGGATAAATCACAAGTGAGTTATATTTTTATTTTATTTCAATTATTTATTATTGAGTATTTATCATTAAATTTTGTTATGTATTTCAATGTATCTGTTTTTACTGGTAATAAATATTATTATTTTTTTTTCTAGGCAATAAAAGACTACGAAATGATTATCAAGTTAGAGCCTATGAATAAACTGGCAATAAATGCATTGAAAAAATTACTTGGATCTAGTGTAGCTAAAAAAGTACGAATTAAAATAGAAGATGAAGTAGAAGAAATTAAATCAAATAATTATGGAGTAAATATCGGTGAGGATGAAAGATTTGATATAATGTCACAAATGGAGCAGAAATATTTAGAAAGAAAGGGAATTTGTTTTTGCAATCGAGCTCCAAGTACATCTCGGTACACTAAACCTCTGCCGCATAGAAAAGCTAGTTATTGTTATGAAAGTATTTCTGCCAAACCAAGTTTCTATAAATATCCCAACATTTCGTCATCAGCTTCATCAATATTTAGTGAAACATCTGTTTCTTCAAAAAATTCTGGAGTTTTTATTGAAGAAATAACCGAGAGTCCAAAAGTTAATAACTCCGAGCCTAATTTACAAAAAGTTGAAACTGCTCAACTCAGTTCTTCAAAATCCGAATCTGATATTAATTTTAAACACAAAGAAATATTTTCTCACAATAATGAAGATGATATGATGAAGTTTGGAGAAATTAGAACTCCATATGATTTTGATAGTGCTTGGCTATCGGTGAAAAATAAGTCTCTCAAATTACGTGCTCGGTTATTGAGAGCCGTAGGTCCAAGAAATATTGGAAGAGGTAATGATTTATTAACATATATTATTAGCTTATTATTTATTGGCATTATCGCTATTATTTTTCAACAGTCATAAGTAACAAACTAGATGGACCAATGTTTAGCTTAATTTTAAAAACTTTAGAAACTAATTTTACTACCAGCAAAGATGTTGAACTTCTAAAAGAATTTTTGGAAGCTTTTAGTAAATTAAATCGTTTTTCAATTATTTTATTGTTTGCTGATAAAGATGATCAACAAGGTAAGAATAATTTTTTTTTTTTTTATTAAATTCTAATAATATATTTAAGAAACTAATAATGTATTAATTATTTCAGCGCTGGAAAATATATTTAAATTTCTTGAACAAGAGCAAGTGCCTGATATAGAAAATCTTTACAATACATATCTTTTGAAAGAACAATTTGTATAAATATTTAAGCATGTTAATTTAAAATAAAATAATGAATTTATTACAATATAAAAATCTGATTTTAAAAATAAACAATAAATTTATGTGAATAAAAATTTTAAATTGAATTTGGCGCTAAAATTAAGATGAACTGCAGCGTTCATGGCGGCAAAATTATTTGTTGCATGCCGTGACTGCTTAAGGACTGGTAATTTCAGCGCTAGTGTTGCATTCATTTCCGTTACATTAATTTTCTATCCTTATTTCCCGCGCTTCATTAAAACATTATATTTCACGGATTAAAAACATGTTTAACTAAATTAAAAAATTGATTTTAGCATAAATAGAGAGAATAATTATAAATGAATAATATTATAAAAAAAGAAAGTGATAAAAAGTTGCTATTAATAAATAAAAAATAATAAAATAAAAATAATATCTCTCTCTTTTAATAATGATCTTAAAGATGGCCGGGAAGTTGCTAGGTGGTGGCATCTACCTCCGACCGTGACTTTAGTAATTTAATTTCTGGTTACTCTTTCTCTCCGTTTCAGTAGATGCTTGTGACATTTTTTTCCGTTGCCTGCAAGATGTTTACTCGGTTTAACAGTGAAAAATTAACCATGGCGCCCGGAAAAATTGGATATAAAAGCGCAATGGTATCACTGCCAAAATCAATCTAATCACAGAGGTACGTTGTGCGTCTAACAAATATCGAGTGATTTAGACAATAAATATTAAAATTTATATTGGGATGTATGTGTGTGTGTGTGTTGCCTTGAACTCTCGCGGCTCGTGAGCGCCCAGACAGGGTACCAAGTGTTGATGTGTTTGTGTATACGTATATTCACACACATAAATATACCGATGTGTGTGTTTATAGCCTACAAACCCTGACATAGCAATGGCGTTTACTGTTGTCGCATTATCTAACATTAATGTCGATATTTAACCAAAAAATTAATAAGTAAGGCATTTAATAATCATTTTTATTAAAACTTATTAATATTTATTTTTGTGAAACTGAATAAGCGCGGGTGGATTTACTTTTTTTTTCACCCGGGAGTCGACGCCCTCGGTTTCCGTCAGTACAAGTTCCGAGTGTGCCCACGTCGGTGGTTTATTCTTGTGTTGGGGTATATATGTACATATATGTGTGCGTGTGTAAAACGCTGAGTACAAGAGTGTATTACTCGTGTGAGCCTCTTCTGCCCCCGAGTAAGTCGAAACGGAACGAGCGGCACGCCATCCTGCCCGCGACTTCACCAAGTCTACTCATTTTATTCTCTATCTAATTTATATCCTAGATAATATATTTTATAAAATTGTAAATAATAATATCTAGTTATTTATTATTTTTATCATTGTTATTGTTTAAAGTATTAATTAAATGCCGCCGGTTATTGTTTTTGAGTTGGAGTTTTTTTTTTTTCGCTCTGTAATTTTTGCTTCTCGTTTCCTGAAGATTGTACTTGTTGATGGCGGAAAAATCGTGACTGTTGGATATTTTTTTGTCATGCGATTCGAATGAAGGGATGTTTAAAACAATTAAATTAAATGTCTTTGTTGTACACAAGTGTATGTATATAAATCTATCCGTGTTCTATTATTATATATAAGTATGTGTGTGTTTGTTAATGTTTTATTGTAAGTTTAATTGTCTTTTTAAATGTAAAGTGTTTTTTTACTAAAAATTTGTGATGTGTAAAATTATTTTAGTGTTAAAATATAATATTGTATATTTTTGGTGATTAGAAACAGCTAAGAGTCCACATACGGACCATGGATGATGAGGAACGTCTTGAAGGTGAGGAGGAAATGGAACTCGATGATGCATCTGATGGTGATGATGATGACGAGGAGACATCGGGAATTTCTGTATCACCAGCAAACATGAACATGGATCCATTTATTGGAGCATCATCCACTCCAGGAAATGGTAATTATAATTTTATTTTTTTTCTTCTTTTTTTTTCTTGTTATAAAAAATAAATAATCAAATTTAATTAACAGGATTAATGATTTCAGTTACTCCTGATGAAGCCTTTCATAACCCACTGCGCTATCAAAAATTTCCATTTCCTGGTGGGAAACCTCTGACAAACATCAGGAGAGGTCCTGGTAGACCGAGAAAAGAAAGACCTCTTGGGTCTATGCGTGGTGGGGGTTCTCGTCGACATTTTAGTAGAGGTTCAACTAGAGGCAAAGGGTCAGTGATTAATAATATTTTTAACTTGCTATTTTAGAATAAAAAAAAAAAATACTGACTTTGTTATTTTTATTAAATTAATATTTTTGATAATCTTTAAATTGGAAAAATATTTTTAGATATTAAATATAATTAAAAAAAAATATTTATTTATAGGTTGGGTTATTCCAGGGGAACGCTTCGTAGAACAAAAAGTAAAGACGATGACACTCATTCAGAGTCACAAAGTCCTTTGCGACTTACTGATGATTCTGGTATGGATGGTGAGTCTTCAGGAGTCGGAATGATGCCGGCACCTGAAGAGCCTCCGTATTTCCCAGAGCAATGGTAAATAAATTTTCAAAAAATAAAAAAAAAAAGTAATTACAGTAGAACCTCGTTAAGTCGAACCTCGATAAGTCGAAATAATTAGTGAGTCCCTACAAGCTATTTCTGTACATTTTTACCCGCCATAACTCGAATACATACATTTAGACCTCTTTATCTCGAATTTAAAATTATTATCGTATTCTATTATTATTAATTATTAATTTCTGAAGAGAAGAGCATCAATATTTATCTTTGAACAATAGATAAACAAGAGAATAGCTTTATTTAAATTAAGTAAAAATTATTACTGCCTAACTCGAAACTTTCTATAACTCGAATTTTTTTGCCTCTCCCTTGGAGTTCGAGTCATAGAGGTTCTACTGTAATTTAAAAATAATAAATTAAATAAATTGAAAATATATTTTAATTTTTAGGCCGAGGAAAGTATGTGCATTTTGCAATTTAGGAGAAAGAAGTCAACTAGGGCAGGGCGAATTGGTTCGATTGTCTTGTCCTGAAGATTTCACCCCCGAGAATGCAGTTAACCACGTTGAAACAACAGACCTTATGGACGTGTCTTCCACCGGTGATAAAAGCCCTCGCGGGTTAATGGGAGGCGGCGCAGTAACTTGTCGTCGTCAAAAGAGCCTAGCTAAATGCAGAAATCCTAGTCTTACTAATTTTACAGAACCAGTTGAAGAGCTGTCAATAGTTGGTTACTCAGACAAGCCCGAGTTAACAGCACTGTTTGAGTCAACAGGTTACTATTATGTTCACACCTTTTGCGCAATGTGGTCAATTCAAAATCGAGAATTGATAACAGAGCGTATAAGCCCGATATTAGTACAATCATCATTACGCCGATGCGCTTATTGCGCTCATTATGGAGCAAGTATTCCATGCAGAGTACAAACGTGCAATCGTACATTTCACTTGCCCTGTGCTGCAGCCTCGGGCTGCTTTCAAGATATGAAAATCTTCAAGCTATTCTGTAACCAACATCTTGGGCAAGTGTCTATTTTACTAGAAAACAGCGACGCTATTTGTGTTTCTTGTTATAAAATGGACGATATCGCTAGCTTGGTTATGTGTTCAGTTTGTGGCTCTCATTATCACGGTCATTGTTTAGGAATCTCGATAAACCCCAGTGTAAGAGCTGGCTGGCAATGCACTGTATGTCGTGTGTGTCAAGTGTGTCGTCAGTCAGAAACAGAGATATCTAAATTTATGGGATGTGAGCATTGCCATAAGGCGTATCATCCTGGCTGTTTACGTCCTGTTGTTACTTCTGTGCCTCGATGTGGTTGGAAATGCAAGTGTTGTCGTGTGTGTACTGATTGTGGTTCTCGTACACCTGGTGCTGGTTTATCCTCACGTTGGCACAGTCATTACACTGTTTGCGACTCATGTTATCAGCAACGTAATAAAGGTTATTCATGTCCGCTTTGCAATAAAGCCTATCGTGCTGCTGGTTATAGAGAAATGGTACAGTGTACTGTTTGCAAAAGATTCGTACACAGCGGTTGTGACGGCGAGGCTGACCCAGTGACTTACCAACATCGCAAAGACACTAAACCAGACTACGAGTACGTTTGTTTGGCTTGCAAGGGTATGGCGATAGTCAAACGAAAAGATTATGATGAATTTTATACTGGAGATTCAAGCTTGACCGCATCTCAAGAAAGTTTGTATGGAGATGGTGATTCATCAGAATTTGATTATCAGGGTGGTGACGAGGCTCATTTTTCAATAGGCCTTGGAAAGGGAAAACCATTTTGTGCGTCAAAGGTCGCTAAAAAACGATTGAGCTTGCAGGGTGTTATCGGCCGGCCGAAAGGTGTTGGCAAATTTGGCTATCAAAAGCGCCAAAAAATGAATGAATTTGGTCGCAAACGCGGCCCTAAAGCCAAAATGCGGGGAATATTTGGAGCACCGGGTGTCGGTCTTCAACGTCCAATTTCAGACTCTTTCAACAAAGAAGAAGAACCCGGTGTTGAAAATAGGCTTGTTTTGTGTTCAGCTAAAGATAAATTTGTGTTAACTCAAGATATTTGTGTTATGTGTGGTGCAATTGGTACTGACACTGAGGGATGTTTAATTGCTTGTGCCCAGTGCGGTCAATGTTATCATCCTTACTGTGTTAATGTTAAAGTTACTAAAGTAATATTACAACGCGGGTGGCGTTGTTTAGACTGTACTGTATGTGAAAAATGCGGTTTAAGAGACCGTGAAGATAAACTTATATTATGTGATGATTGTGACATAAGTTATCATACGGATTGTCTGGATCCGCCAATGGAAAATGTGCCTTACGGTACATGGAAATGTAAATCTTGTGCCGTTTGTCAAATATGCGGCTCCGGAGATCCTGGATTTAATAGTATTTGGCAGAAAAATTTCACCCAATGTGGACCATGCGCGTCCCATTCATCTTGTGCCTCATGCCAGGAAACTTACACCGAGGGAGATTTAATAATACAGTGTGTAGTATGTTCTAGGTGGCTTCACTGTTCTTGTGATCACATAATGACAGAAGCAGACGCTGAAAAGTGTGCTCAAGCCGGTTATCACTGTATTATTTGTCGTCCTCGTGATGAACCACCGCCTCATCAATTGTGCAATCAACCTAAATTACAGCCAAATAAATACCATCCAAGATTATCACCGCCAATAGTTCGCAGTCCAGAACACTATAAATCACCAATGTGTCATCTGATTGACGGTGTGTATTTATCTGAAATTGGAATGCATCACATTAAATCACTAACTATAGAACATCAGCAGACACGTAAAAAACGGCGAAAAGTACTGCCGGTATTGGACAAAGATGCTGATATTATGGCGACAATTGATTCTGTTGTTGCTGGTAATAGTCTTGACAATTCTTTGGAGGATAATCGAGATTCTAAAATGGAAATGATTGATATAAAAGAGGAACCCGGTGAAATATTAAAAGACGGCATGCCTTGGACACTGCGTGATCAACCACCACCAGAAGGTTACACTGTATGTACTTCTGAGAATGGTGTACCTATTTTAAAGCGTAAACGTCAGCGTAATTTACAAAAATTAGGCATCGGGGGTTTTGTACCACGTAATCGCGGGACACGTAAAGATAAAGATGAGGAATGTGAAACAGATAAACAGCTTGCTGGAGACAACAAACAATCATCATCGATTAATGGTGTTGGTGTTGGTGTTGGTGTTGGTGTTAATATTGGTGTCAGTAGTGGCAGTATTGACGGGAAACCGCGTAAAAAAACACTCCGCAAAAAACCAAAGACTAAACTGTCGGAATCGTTTCCTCCTTATTTGCAGGAGGCATTTTTCGGCAAAAATCTTATGGATCTCACCAAAGACAAAGACTTGAAGAGCAGCAGTGATTCGGATAGTGAAAAAAATACATCCGGTAATACTGATACTATTCAATTGTCCCAAGATGAGATCAAGGCTATTGAACAAGTTAATAATCAAGCTAATAAATATGATAATAATAGTAATGATAGAAATGATATTAATAATGAGGAACAAAAGTTACCGATAAATAATAATAGTAATAGTAATAATATTACTAATACTAGTAATAATAATATCAATAATAATAATAATAATAGTAGTAGTAGTAATAGTAGTGGTAGTAATGCAGTAGCAACAGCTGCTGCAGGAACTAAACAAAATATTATAAAACGTGAGGACGATGGTACTAGCCGTAGTATTGATGATGACAATGCCAGTGATACCGATGCGTTAGGTGATATACTGCCTATATCGTCTGATTTTGTTGATAATGAATTAGTTAATACGATAATGAATGAGCCAGATGAGGAACTCGTTAAAGCAAGTGTTGCGCTAAATGAACTGGAAGACCCACCAGGTCCTAGTGAATTTAATGATATACTTGGCAGTCCGCATTTTAATTTAGTCGAGTCTATGGTACCAGATGATACAAATTTGCCTAATATGGCAAGCAAAGATGTCGAGGATATGCTAAAAAGTGTATTGACCGACGAATCTCAAGAGTCACAAGAGTCATCAGTCTTTCCACTGCAAAATCAAACAGCTCATACGCCTTCGACACCAACACCACTGGTATCGCTCTCACCACATCCTGGTAAGAATTTATTTTTATTACGTTATTTGTTTATTTTTCATTTCATTAGATTGATGATTTTTTTTTTTCGTTCTTTCTTAGTTATTATCTTTACTTAATTTTATTCATGTTTTACAGGTATGCAAACTGGTTTACCACTTGCAAGACCTCAAGTACCACCTGTATCACTCCCAACTGTTGGACAAGCTACCTTAAATTCACCGTTGAGTTTTCCACCACCATCACCTTATCATTCTGAATACAGCAAGTACGTTAAAAATATAATATTAAAATTTTATGGATTTTATTTCTCAGTTAAAGAAAAAGTATTAAATTAATACTTATTTTACAGTAGCCCTCAATTTAGTCCAGCATTTTCTGAGCCACCTAGCCCATGGGTCAACCCTGAAGAAGAAGGTCCCAGTTGTTCAATAAACACGTCTATCTCTAACAATCAGCGTAATAACAGTCAAAAGCTTGAAAAAGATGAATTACTGGGTCCCAATGCTACAAGCTCAGCTATACTTTATGCAAATCTCAATCATCCAGATTGGAAAATTGAATTTCCAGGTTATTATTTATTTAATTATTTTTACAACAATCTATTGTATTTTACTGTAATAATTATTTGTTTTTAACAGTTTGGAATGAAAGATTGAAACAAATACTGAAAAAATGGCGATCTTTGCCAAATGAAACAAGACAGCCTTACTTGTCACAAGCTCGTGACAACAGAGCGACTAATCGTATGAGAAAAACGCAACAGGTGAGTCAATTTGTTAACATATGCAAATATTTAGACTATCATACAGGTTCAATAACTCAATTTTTCAATCATTCATTTAATAATTTATTCAATTTCATACATGAAAATCTCAATTTTTTTTTTTTTTTTATAAACCTGCGTTTTTAGTTGATAACGTTTAATAATTTTTAAAAGTTTTCTTGTGCTAATCCCTGAGTTGAACTAACAGCTCGAATATAAAATTTATTTTGTTTTTCCATTAATTTTTTTTGTGTTACGTCTAGTATTAGTCGTCATTAGTAACTGGTATTTCAATTAACGTTACAATAAATAATATACATATATACATAATTTGATGACAAAAAAATCAATTATCATTATAGATATAATTTAATTAGAATCTGGCCTTATTCAATTATTTACTAACAATAATATAAATATTTAAATTTACAAAGCAAAATTTTTTTATTTAATTTCAATTTATCAGTTACTAGTAGACGATTTGTGTGTCCCCATTATTGACATATTTGGACCACTAGACAATTGTTATTTGCCATAAGCATTGAGCCTGTTAGCCTAATCCTCTGTCATCCCTTGCAGTATCTAACTTACCTTGTAACTTTAACAATTATTTTATTTAAAAATATAAATAATAAAGACAGAGATAGTCGATAACAAAGCCATTGATGAATAAATAATGGAAAAAAAAAGTTTTCTTAAGAAATCTAAGTTAAATTAGTTATGTCTAATGTTTAAAAAAAAAAAAAAAAAAATCTAAAATACAAAAGTGTGTGAACGTGTGGCACCCGTTGAACCGACAGATACCAAGCACGATCCCAGTCACTGCAACAAGCTCACCCACCAACACCAACACCACCAAACCCGTCACCACAACGATGGCTGCCGGGCAAGTGTCTCCAGTAGTACCAATGGGTACTGGTCAGAACCAAATAGGTCTTTTGTCATCTGTAATAAATCATGACAACTCCCAGCAAGACAAGCCATCAACATCATCATCAGTGTCAGTAGGAGTTATATCAGCCGGACCTTCCTCAGTTTTGTCAACAAACGTCACGGGTGGAATCATCGTAGCAACATCGTCAACACCCACAGCAGTATCAGGATCAAGTACATCCACTGCTGTGGGAGTTGGTCATCTAGCGGAGGTGTGTGCGGTACAGGGACAGGGCCCGATGTCAAGACAGCTAACATCTACCTCACCCAGTCCATCCCCCACCTCAACCAGCTCTTCCTCATCACCACGACCCAGCTCTGTCAATTCAATTAATAATTATATTAGCAATTTATCGCACCAAGAGTCCAATAATTCTTCAGCAAAATGTTTGCCACAGTCGCCTGCCACCACGGCTACTATTTGCACGACACCGGCTGTCTCTTTCTGCAATACAATCATCACCGAGGGACAACTTTCTTCAGCGAATTTGCACCAACAACAACTACGCCCGGTGTCTACAGCTCATACTACTACTACTATTAATAGTAGTAATAATAATAACAACAATAACAATAATAATAATAATAATAATAATAGTAGTAGTAGTGGTGGTGGTAGTAGTAACAACAGCAACATTACTAATAGCAATAATATTACTACTATTGTTAATAGTCCAAGTGTTGTTGTTTCTCAGTCCCCCAGTGGAACTGCAGGTGCAATCGTGGTGGCTGGCACTGTTCGACAATTATCCTCGGTAGATCATCAGATTAGAGTGCTCACCCCGTCTGAAATAATGCGCACCCTCCCTTCCCTCAGCCAGGAGCACTACGATCCGCCACCCACTGCAATTATTCACACTGTACCTGTACAGACCCCGGTCATGGTGAGCCTACAATGCGCCTATAGTGTCTTGTCTTGTACAATACAAATATATGGATATTTATATATTATTTATTCATATATTTGTATATCAAATCGATTTTTTAGTTTTTTTTATACTTAAATACGATTTTTTATATTTGTTTTATTTTAGTATTCAATTTTCAGTATCAAATCTTTATTGTCAATGTTCTGTAAAGAGAAAAAAATTACAAGCGATTAATCTCATATTTTAAAAAATTTGATTTTTTATTTCAAGTTACAATTTTTAATAAACAATAATTCATTATAATTATTTAAAAAATTTTAATCGCTTGGAAAATATTTTCGCTCTTAGTTTTTCATTAGTATTTTATTTAAAAAAGAGAATTAACAAAAAGTATAAAATTTCTTCATTTGGAATGATGGAGTTAAATTGCATCTCACAGGTCCATTCGATATATGTTAGATTTTGTTAGTTATTTTTTTTGTTTTATTTTTATTAACTAGATATTTTTCCCCCGTGAATGACAACGTGTATAAATATTAAAAATGTGGCATGATGATACCCCTTAGCACAATCCACTCCTAAAAATTCCTTACTGTTTCAAAATATCCATTGCCGTTACCCAGTACCTTTTTTTTTTTTTTTTTTTTCTTCATTTTCCAAACAATTACTAATAATTATTTTTGCTTACTGTATTTTCGTTGATTGGGTAAAAGTAGAATTGTATTTAATTGTCAATATGAACGTCGATAGATAACCTACGCTTTGGTTTTATTAATTTTATTCTACTCTATTAGACTATTAGTTGCTTAAAATTACTGTCTACGACTTTATATTTGAAAAATCACTTTTTACTCGATAATTAATTACACAATTTTGCACGTATTGTATAATTACAGGCCAAAAAAAAAGAACAGTAGAACATTGTTTGTACATAAAAAAATTTGAATGTAAGCGTGTATGTGTTGGGTGTTTCAATTATTTTATAATTTATTATTATAATTATTATTATTACAACTTATTATCTAATTATGAACGGTGACTGGATACTTTCTGTCGTACAAAATGCACATGAAAAAATAATTTCTAAAACTATTTTATCAAAACGTATGTAAGAGTTTATTTAATCAAACGATAAATTAAATAACACAACGTTGTATCTATCATTAGATATTGTTATTTTCTTTTATTTAAACTTGTGAATGCTCAGGTTGTTGGTGTATATATATAATTTTGGCTGATTGTAATCGACGCCTTCATATATTAATCACAGATATTTATAATAAAACTGTATTATTGCTCCTCAAAACAATAATAGTTATTATTAAAGAGGTGCAATAATTACAGGATAATTTTAAATATTTGGTTTTTAATTTAAATATTTTTAACAGGAGCAAGATCGACTTGCTAATCGAGATCGTACAACTAAAGAGGCCGAACAAGAACGTGCATGGAAGCAATTGCAACAATATAGACAGCAGCAGCATCAACTTCAACAGCAAGTTATTCAAGATCAACGTTTAACCGGTATTATTAATATATTATTATATTTAAATTTATTTATAAAAATAATGATTAATTTATTTATTTATTTTCTCAGCAATGGCAAGAGTACAGCGACAAATTAGCGATGATGGAGTTCAACTAAATACAGATAATAATACAGGATTGACAACGCAATTACAAGTATCAACTGCTCAGGTAATTATAATTTATTTTAGAAAAAAAATTACTCAGAATAAAAATAATTTTCATAAAAAATTTCTTAAACAAAATAAAATTTATAAAATCCGCCGTCCATCTTACGGCAACATAAAAATTTTATTTTGTTTAAAATTATTTCCAAGAAAAGTAAATTTTTATTTCCATAAAAGTAACATTTTATGCTTGCGAAGGTGGACCATTTTAATAATAATAATAATAATAATAATAATAATAATAATAATAATAATAATAATAAAATAATTATTTAAAGGACGGAAATCATCTTGGACCAATGGCGTCTCCATCACCTGGGTCTCGCGCGACATTTGCCACCCCACCGATGAAAGTTATTCGTGGCAACGCGCCTCAGAGTCCACATCAAGTGATGCCGAGATTACCAAACCAACAGTGTATCTCATCAGCGCGTCCAGTTTCGGTAGCAGTACGTCCAGGGTTGGTGACAAATTTCCCGCAGCCTCCGTCGCCATTTTCCCCTCAAGCACCGCAGTCGCCCCACGACTACCCACAATCTCCAGCGTCAAGTCACGTTACAGTTTCAGCAGGAGGACCTGAACATTTCCAACGATTTGAGAATCCAGCAGAAGCATTTACTTCAGCAGGCAACCAGACACCTCGTCCGCTTATGCCAGGTACTCCTACTTATGCGACATCGCCTCGCAACGACGTATTTTCCCAGTCTCCAGGCACCCCGCGTGCCCTCTTTAATCCCCCTACTCCCCGTTCTTCCACCCACGTGTATGCTCCATCACGTACTCCCGATCCTTATAGCAATCAACCTCCTACACCTTCCCCGGCGCCGAGTTATCCCTCACCACGGCCTGAACTGCGTCAGCAAGAGGTAGTCCTGCCGACCTCAGAAGTTTTCAACCAACAGTCTGAGGTTAATCAGCAGCTGAGGGACTTACTCCAGCGGTCTCAATTTCGTAAAAAAACTGATGGCATGCCTGGAAACACCTGGACTCCAGATACAAATCCAACTGCTGCTGATGTACAGCAGCAACAACAACAACAGCATCAGCAGCAACAGCAACAGCAGCAACAACAGCAGCAACAATTTGAACCTACTCATGTACAAATTCCTCAGCATGCACAGCCAGCTAATAATGTTGAGGGTACTTTTAGGCATCCTTTGCCTCCGGGTATTAGGCCGCGAATGCCTATTCAATTAAATGTATTTATAAGAAATACTCCTGGTAAGTTTATCATCATTTATTTATTTATTTATTTGTTTTTTTTTTATTAATAAAAATTAATTATAAAAATTTATTTATTAAAAACAGATGCTAGATTACAAAGTATAGATCCACGTACAAGAATGCTTCTACAGAGACCACAAGTGCCTGGTGGAATTCCTCAACAGCATTTTCAAGCACCACCTCAGCAGCAGCAACAACAAGTACTTCAACAGCGAATGACAGCTCCTAGGAATCCACAAGAGCAGTATGATATTCTTCAACAGTCTCAACCTTCACAGCAACCCTCACCTCAGCAACAGCAACAACAACCAGGACAGCCACGATTTCCCTGTTTTTACTCTAAAAACTAATTTTTCCGTGTAATAAAAATTTATCTCTCTTAATATTTTCTCCTGCTGGTAATAATAATCGCAATAATATTTGTAGTTTATTATTAAAAGGGATCTAAAGGTGTGGACTCCTGATACTTTTGAAATTAATAACCACAAAACTTGCCATCCGCAAGTACATACAATCTTTATACAAAACTTGAGAATGAGAGTGAGAAAGAAAAATAATAAAGGCTAAGCGTGAAACCCAATGACATTTCTGTCTCATACATTTATTTTTTGTACTTATTTCTTATCTTCTATCTTTTATCTTAGCTTTGTTATTTCTCACACAATAGTCCTTTCATTTCTCGGTCTTGTTTATCTTTCTCGGCGATCCTTGCACGTTATAATGTAATAAAGAAACCTCACGTACTGGGAACGTCAACCCTGAAAAGTGACAAATTTTAATCTGTGTTCTATTATTTTTTTTATTTATTTATTTTAAATAATTACGTCTTGTAATTCTATAAACTAAAGTTGAAGAATAAAAAAAATTAGAGGACCTGGTAATTAGTAATTAGTTGGGCGCTATTAAATTTATAGCATTAATAATCTACAGCTTGAGAGATTAATGAGTAAATGTCGAAACAAGGAGACGAATAAAAAGAGATAAATTGGTAAAAGGAGTAAGTAAAGAGGGATGAAAGTGGTAAAGGGAAAGTTGTGTAGACGACAGTTGCAAGCTCGTGTATGTCCATTTGACAATAAACTTCACCGTTTAATGGTCTCACGCTAAACTTTCTCGAGGGAGACAGGGAGACACCTAGGCGTGACTAATTGTCGTTAGAAACAGAGGAAATAACAATACATACTGTATAGACAGTACAACTGGTGGATATTACCGAGTCATCCTTTTCTATTCAGTAAACGTCAGATTATCGATTTTACATGAATCCTTCTTCCATTCCTCTTGTTCTCACCAACAAAACGAAACAAAGTAGAACAATAGTCTTACAAAAACTTTATAGTATATATCTTTAATTTAATTACCTTGGGTGCTATTTACACACATGTAAAAGTATATATACTTTTTTTTTTATTTACTCTTGTAGATAAATATATTATCATATTGAAAAAAGGAAATTGGTTTCAAATTTCGATAGTTATAAGTTATAATAAAAAATATGAGGATTTTTGTGAAAAGAAAATAATTTTTTGGAAATTGTCAACAATTTTATTTCTGAGCTAAAAAAATCAAATTTTTTTTACAGTAACTTTCTTATTGAAAAAAAGTTTTCTAAGTTTGGAAAAAAACAACTTTAGATAGACAACTTGACAATTTTCAAACAAATTGTTTTTTTTAAATCTAGAAAACTTTTTTTCATAAAAATGGTTATATTTTTCAAAAGAAATTTTTTCTCTCTGAGTATGTGAAATTGTATATTATATTTAAAATTAAATCATTAATGGTATAATTTATTATTCTCTGGGTTATTTATAAATTTAAATTAAAAGATCATTTATAGATAGATTTATTTAACATTGAGCAACAGTAAGAACTGCTTTGTATAATTTTTCCATCAGAGTATTTTATATTAATCTGCATCTTATTAATACTTAAAGCCCATTTTTACTTAAATTAAAAGATAACATATTTTTTTTTTTTTATGAAAATATCAAGTGTAGAATACTATTGATTATTCTAAGTATTCGCAAGCAATTAAATAAATATTTTTCTTAAAAAGATTTAGAGGTAATAAATAAAATGTCTTATACATTTTGGTTTAACCGAGAATCTGTGGTTTTACTTTTTTTGACTAAGATTTAGTGTCTCACCAGCTATTTGTCTCATTTATCAGAATGAATAGATTTACCACCATGAGGGAAAAATAAAAAGAACATTTACTTGCGTGATATTTATTTCATAGACTCTGTACTTTTAAAAAGTTTCGTAGTGGCTTGATGGTTTTTATTTCTTAATGTATAAATCTTTGTTATTTTTTTTTTACGTCTCGATTTCTCTTGTCAATTTACAGGTAATTGATTACATCCCTCGTCTCGTCTTACCCTTCTCCATTTCCATCTCCCATGAGCAATAAATTCAAATTTTGCTGAGAATCTTCAATCTCAACCCTTAAATTATTATCATAATATCTTTTTCTTAAATAAATTGTGCGACAATATTTAATAATTTATTTTTAAATAATATCCTTTTAATTTGAATAGTTCATAAATAAATATTATTAAAATACGGAGAACAACTGAAAATAATTAAAAAATTTTTTCAATTTATAATCTCACGTATTATTTTTTTAATTTTTTTCTATTTCATATTTTTAAGCTGAATAATATATCGCCATTGTTATATAATGTTTATTTTAGTAAATAAAATATTTAACAATTACTCACAATTTAAAAATATTATTTCAATGAACAAATAAGCTCAATATTAAAAATAAATATATCAATAAAATTTATTTATTTGTTTCAGGTAACATTATCAATATCAATTCTCATCAGTCTTCACGTATTTTTTTTGCTAGTCGTCGAAATTATACCCCCAACATCTCTGGTAGTACCACTGCTTGGAAAGTACCTGATATTCGCAATGATACTCGTTTCAATCAGGTAAGTTGGATAATTTTTATCCAATTGATAACTTTTATAATCAGATATGTAAAATGTTTTTTCCTCTTTTTACCCTTTAACAATGGTACATATGAAAAGTATATTGGATTTGGATGCAAATTATATAAAATAAGAGACGTTACGGAGGATAGCTGTTGAGGTTGAGAATAGAGAGCACATAGCAGAGGTCGTAGTTGCCGAGCGTTCGGGGAATAGAATCAGAATCAGAATCGGAATCACAAGGAGTAGCTTTAAATCTGAATTGCATTGAGTTTAATTACTTCCGGCACTTGCAGAATAAGAGAAAGCTGCCATTACACTTTTACTATCTATTTTCCTTTAGCTCTGTTTTATAATTATTGTCTCTCTTGTGTTACTTTTTTTTTTCGTCTCAAGAGATCTTGATTTGCTTCATTTTGTTGTTAGTACGGTTGTCAGGATCGAGATATGTTGAAGGATTATCTTTTATCTTACTCTGCTTCTTTTTCTATTGATAAATTTATTTACTTTCATTGTAACTTAATATTATTTCAACTGCTATTTTTAAATTTTGTTTAATTGAAAATTTTATTGTCTATATTATTAAGAGAATAAGAAAAATTTTGTCTCCAGGATAGTCATATGATAAAAGCGGTTTATTTAGTGAAATTTAGTGTCATTGCAAAGATCTTGATTTAAATTTGTACCTTTTCAAGGTTTCATATCATTCTCACCGATAGTCAAATTATTATGATAAGTATTTAAGCTGCATTCGAAAATGCTCTATTTATAGATACATAAATGAGAAATTACCTTGTATCTTGTGAAAGATTGACATTTTTAAAGATATAAGCTCATCCCGATGTTACACTCATCGAAACCTTTCATTTGAGTACCGACATCAATTTTTTCATATATTTATATATATTATATATATGTATATATGAAAAATATATCAAAAATGCATGTGGGTACTCAAATGATAGCTCTTGATGAGTATAACATCGGGATGAGGTTACATTTTTAAAAATATCAATAGTTAAAAAATGACCTTGCATCTTGTGAAATATTGACATTTTTTAAGATATAAGCTCACTCCGACATTACACTCATCGAGACCTTTCATTTGAGTACCCACATCAATTTTTCATATATTTTATATATTTATATATATTATATATATTAATATATGAAAAATATATCAAAAATGCATGTAGGTACTCAAATGAAAGTTCTTGATGAGTGTAACATCGTTATCAGCTTATATCTTTAAAATATATAATATATATATGTATATATCAAAAATATATCAAAAATGCATGTGGGTACTCAAATGAAAGCTCTTGATGAGTGTAATATCGGGATGAGCTTATATCTTTAAAAACGTCAATAGTTAAGAAAGTACAGTGTAATTTAACAAAAGTCATTATTCAAATTAATGAAGCAAAATTTTATTTATTTGTCCTTCACAAGTCACGGCAGTCACATAATGACTGAAAGGTTGCTAGTTATTATTATTATTTTTAAACTGACTTACTAAAAATTAAAAGAAAAAAAAAATAAAATAAAAATAAATAAAAAACACAAAAAAGTGAGTTGATTTTGATTGTTGAAGCTTTTTATTCATACAATCTCATGGGAATTTACCCTTCTTACGATAAAATAGAGAAAAGATATGTAAGCTTTTACATTTTAACATCTTTAGACCTTTAGATCTTCCGATTTAGATCTTCTCACGTAAGCCAAGTGGAAATTTTTGTACTCATCTGTTTTTCTGGTCCGACTGTGGGGTCCCTCCGGCAAATCGGTAAATCGGATAGTAAAAGCTTGCTCAGTGAATGTTCCTTTTTTTTGTAATATATATATTTATACAGATACGAATCATTTCCCTCGGGGTTTTCACTGTTTTTACTATGTATCATCAAAATAGAGTGTACATTTGAAAAAAGGTAAAAAAATATATATATAACACGTAAACAAAAAATGTGAAAAGCATTGTTTCAGTTATGACAATATACAGATTACACTTCTACCGTAAACAATCTATTCTCAGAATATACATATCTTTTTTTAGTTTAAAATTTTAATCTTGAAAAAAAAAAAAAATAGTAACTCCTTTAATTTTTTAATTTCAGAAAATTTAAATATCATAGCATAAAAATGAATAAAATATTATGATAATTAAATATCTCCATAACCATAATGTAGAATTGATATGGAACTATAAATCGTGCTCACGATTAAAAACACTTAAATTAGTTGAATAATTTTATTATTAAAATATTAAAATCCCCTTTTAAATGGTTTTACATTTCATTATTTATTTGAATAATAAATTTTTAGATTTTATCAACTAGCCGCTAATTTCCCAAGAGTAATATTGTTAATTACATCATTAAACAGTCAATTTATCTCAGCGTATACAATAATAATAAATTATTAACATAATACATATAATAATGAAGACTATTTAAGTACAAAAACATTTTTTCATTAAATAAAAACATAATATAATTAGCAAACTTGCAGTCACTATGTGACTACCGTGATTTGTAAACTATAAATAAATAAAATTTTGCTTTATTAAATAATGACTTTTGTTGAAGTGTACTATATTTTCTTAACTATTGACGTTTTTAACGATATAAGCTCATCCCGATGCTACACTCATCAAGAGCTTTCATTTGAGTACCCACATGCATTTTTATATATTTTTCATATATACATATATATAATATACATAAATATATGAAAAATTGATGTGGGTACTCAAATGAAAGGTCTCGATGAGTTTAATGTCGGCGTGAGCTTACATCTTTAAAAATGTCAATAATTCACAAGATATCTGTTAAATTGTACTGTACTTTCTTAATTATTGCCGTTTTTAAAGATATAAGCTCACCCCGATGTTATACTCATCAAGAGCTTTCATTTGAATACCCACATGCATTTTGATATATTTTTCATATGTACATATATATAATGTATATAAATATATGAAAAATTGATGTGGGTACTCAAATGAAAGGTCTTGATGAGTGTAACGTCGGGATGAGCTTATATTATTAAAAATGTAAATACAGTGTAAACTCAAGGTCATACAGTGTAAACTCAAGGTTGCACTGTAGTTCCCAAGGTACAAAGTCATTTCTTAATTATGTATCTAGAGATAGAGTATTTTCGAATGCAGCCTAAATACTTATCATTATAAATTGACTATTGGTGTGAATGATGTGAAACCATGAAAAGGCACAACTCCAGGTCAAGACTTTTCCAACGATAATAATATAGATTATTTTATACTAGTCTTTAAAATTATTATTATAAATTATTTTAAAGTCTACTACAAACAATAAAGATTAAAATAAATCCTTCTGTTGCAAAATAAGTTTGATAAAAAAATAATTTATGTTCTTATTTAAATTTTATGATAATATAATTTTAAGGAAGAAATAAAAAAAGAAAGTAATAAATTAATAAAAATAAAAAAATTAGTGTTTTAAAAACGACCACTTTTTTTTATTATCATTATTATTATATGTTTTTATGTTTTAGGATTTTAACAATCTTGATTCTTGTACATATAGTGGTAAATAGGTGGTATGGAGGTTACGGAAGAAAAATACTTTGGAAAGTAGCCAGAAATATATGTTGAGGAAGTAAAAGGAAATGAGCCAAGCTCTCTTTTCTTCCGCTCCGTAAAGCTAACGTCTTGTTTTATATTATCCGTCGTACAGAAGTCGTACAGTACCACAGGTTCATACATTTACTGAATTTACTCAAACATTGACACACATATAGACGATCGATATCAATTTAAAATAAATTTACCGTATTAAATTATTATCGTTAATTATCAATAAATTTCTTCTTTAAGAGATTTTTCTAAGATAAAATTTTATGTATAAAATAAAATAAAATTTCATTGAATATAAATAGAATCTGGAGACAAACAGTCGACTGTAAAGTGTAAAATTGAAAATTCCAAGCTGGCATATTGAGACAGAGAGGTGTCAAGGAGTATGAATAATAGATAGTTGGATAGTTGGAATATAAGTAACCTCAATACGAATGCTTCACACCCACTCGAAAAAATAAAATTTAATTTAAACCGCGACAAAACAGACTGCAGAAATTTATATTCTTATCCAATATATCTAACTAAAATGTATATTGTCTATAAAATATTATTAAAGTTGTTTAATTAAAACTTTAAATGTAAATCATAATTTTTAGTTTCTGATGTTAGTGAAGGCATTCATTTTATCAATCTTAAATTAAAATTGATTTTCCCTTAAGATTTAACTGGATTTAAGAGAAAAGCTCTGTACCAGCGGCTGCACACCACATTATCAATTCAACTTATTCCGGAAGCTCAACAACCTTTTCCTTTCTCAACAAATAATAGATCACTTCAGAACCAGGAATTTATCTACATAATAAAACTTTATTTAATATTTAATTTTCTTTCGGTAATAATTAGTTTTATAATAATTATCATAGTATATTACACTGCTCTGCTAACTCTCCAAACTTTTTGGTAGAATGTAAAATAAAAAAAAAACCTTATCCGTAATTTTCCACTTATCGTTCTACTGACTGCATTGAAATTCTTTCAAACGTTCAAAAAAGAGAAAAATAAAATTAGATTGAGCGCCGTTTATTCAGTTGATTCATTTAAAGGTGACTTTTGGTATGAATGTCAAGTACGGCTTTGATTACTCAGACTCAAGGGAATCATTAAAGTCATTAGAATACGTCAGTTTTACAGTTTTTAGCTGAATCTCATTTTCACGAATAGTTCCACGTCAATTTATCAAATTTTATTACTTATTTTTAAATGTTTAAATCTTAATGAATTTTCAGGTATTAAATCTTTACTGAAGTAAATATTGAGTCTGTAAATCTTCTTTATACTCTTAAGCGTAAATATATAATGATAGAATTCACAGATTTAATTTATGATGGTGTGTAATTGCTTTTTTATTTAATACGAGGAAAAAATAGAGTTTTTAGAGTAAAAAGAGGTCTCTACTTGAAAAAATTGCAAGTATTACATTTAACACTCTAATAATTGAGACTATATCTTGTAATAATGCAATTACAATTGGAAATACCTAATTTTACAACTTCGAATGTATTTTTAGTTGCATGAAAATTTAAACTAGAATTTATTTATTATTTTTCAAGTTATTTATTGAGAAATTAAAAATTAATAACTGAAACTTTCAAAATTTCGATTTATCGGTGATGAATTTTTTCGTTTTATCAAAATCTATTTTCTATATAACATTACCTATTTATCAACTATTTTTTCATTGGCGGATTTGAAATGTATTGCGGTTGATAATCAAAAGATTTATAGTTCAATAAAACAAAACAAAACAGTTAATTCAGTGGGTGTGTAAAATAATAATTTATGCTGGGTGAAACTCAAGAGTCATCACAGCTAGCTTTTGCAGGTCGTTTCGTCTTTTTTGTTGTTATCTGCTGCTGACAGAATATCATTAATTTTATATTATGAAATAATTTAATAAAGCATCCTACATATTTATGTGATAATATAATATTTCATTTCACCACAAAAATAATATTGTCATCAAAGGAATTAACTATTTTTTAATTAACAGAAGGGATTAAATTTGAAATATAGATAAAAATAATATTCCAACGTGAATTGAGCTTTAAAACGAGTAACTTATTGCTATAAACGGCATCAAAGTTCATCCCCGACTCGATTGTGGGTGAAAGCCAATATGCGATATGTTTTTTTAAATGGAAAAAAATTGTTGAATTTTATTTTATCGTTTTAAACTGTAAAAGTCCCTTACTAACAAACTATTCTTCTTTATCTTCTTTCTTGTTTTCTTCTTTCAGTCGTGACAAAAGACTCTGATGACTTTATCATATATCAACTGGAAAATATATATATATATATATAAACTGTATTTATTATTATTATTTTTAACAAGACAAGAACTTTTTTTTATGTTTTAAGCTGCAGAAGTTTTATTTTGTTCCTCTGTCTTAAAAGTAAATGAAAAAAAATTAATAATAAAAAATTTTTATTTTATTCATTAATATCGTTGTTTAAGTAATAAGTGAAAACAAAAGTTAAAGTTACTCAAAGAATTTCTGATGAGATTTTGAAATCTCTTGAGACAGAAAACAACAAACAGCAAACAGCAAACAGCAAACTCACCAACGATCAATAAAATATTTATTAGCAATAACAACTATTCCTTCATTTCATTTAACTAAAAAGTTTAATAAAAATTATCTATATTATTCAGAGAATAAGCAAAATTTTTTCGCCAATGTATTTATATGATAAAATGGGTTTTTATGGTTAAATTTGGTATCGCTGTAAAAGTTTTAACCTGGAGTTGTGCCTTTTCATGGTTTCATATCATTCTGACCAATAGTCAATTTATGATGATAAATATTTAGGCTGCATTCGAAAATGCTCTATCTCTAGATACATAATTAAGAAATGACCTTGTATCTTGTGAGCTATTAACATTTTTAAAAATATAAGCTCATCCCGACGTTACACTCATCAAGACCTTTCATTTGAGTACCCACATCAATTTTTCATATATTTATATATATTATATATATGTATATAAGAATATATGAAAAATATATAAAAATGCATGTGGGTACTCAAATGAAAGCTCTTGATGAGCGTAACATCGGGATGAGCTTATATCTTTAGAAATACCAATAATTAAGAAATGTCCTTGTATCTCGTGAACTATTGACATTTTCAAAGATATAAGCTCATCCAGATGTTACACTCATTAAAACCTTTCATTTGAGTACCGACATCAATTTTTCATATATTTTATATATTTATATATATTATATATATGTATATATGAAAAATATATCAAAAATGCATGTGGGTACTCAAATGAAAGCTCTTGATGAGCGTAACATCGGAATGAGCTTATATCTTCAACAACGTCAATAGCTAAAAAAGTACAGTGCAATTTAACAAAAGTCATTATTTTGCATAATTGCATAATAAAGCAAAATTTTATTTATTTATAGTTCACAAGTTACAGCAGTCACATAGTGACTGCAAGGTTGCTAATTATTATTATTTTATAAAATAAATTTATTTAATAAAAACGATAAAATTATTATGGACATTGATGGTATTACGAAGATAAGCAAATTTTACTTGTAAACTCGCTTAATATTCCCGTTCGGATTAAACGACATTTTATATGATGATGCACTCAACTCTCTATTAAATCCTTTAAAAGCTTGATACACTTTTATTCTTTTCATATTAACTATTGGTTACCAAAAAATTTCATTAATTTTTTTTATCAAAGTGTTTTTTTTAACAACATCACTTTTACTTTTCACTCGCTCCAATTATTTATTCATCGAATCATCAATTATTAATCATTACCATTAATAACTGATGTTTTTCAGCACAAATCCCAAATATAACAGATTTATCAATTTATCATATAATATATGTAAATAAGGATTAGTCGATGAGAAATGAGGCTGTTAATTGATTTAATTAACGTCTTCTGATTTATATGTAATCTTCCAATCAGATTATCCCTTTTACTCTTACATCAATAATTCCCCAACAATAAAATCATTCTACACATTATATTATTAAATACAATTAAAGTTTTAACCAAGTATTTAAATATTTAGTGGGACTTTTTCATCGAAAACTCATACTTGTGTCATAGTCATAGCCACCAAGTAAGTTATATCACGTTAAACTTTAAAAGAAAACTCATCGCTTTTATTTTTGTTTTTTTTTTTTTATCCTTCTATTTCGACGTGGTGACGTTTCCGTTTGGCGAAATCCCCCAAGAGTATATACATCGACAACTGAGCAACCTAAAAAATATAATAAAATAAAAAGAAAGAAATGAGCAAGAGCTTCAATCATAAATAAAAAAGAAAATATAGAAAATATCCATTGAGACGACTGAAAAATCCGTAAAAAGTTTTTTTTTCCAAGCAATTGATAGGGCTGCATTCGAACCTTAAACAAACTTTAAACTGAATGCTGAAAAAACTTTTCCTCTACCCTTACATTAATATAGAGTAATACTTTTGTGCAGAAAGTTATTTCAATACGCTGTTTATTTAAAATAATAATTTTACGCTTTTAAAAGGAAAAAAATTGCTGTCCTTAATACCAAAAAATATATTTAAATATCTTGAATGATAAATAAATTTGTTGAAATTATTTTGATGAATATTTTCTCATAAAATCTGGATTATATATATTTTTTTTTTAACTTTAATATATATTGACATACACCAAAAAAGTAAAGATTTTATCTTTCAATGGTTTATTTTTTCGCTTTTTATTAAAACCACAGAGCTTTCATCTTTAGAGTGAAGAATAAATTGCGTCGTCCTTTCGAGTCGACGTTGATCAATGCTTAGGTAGACACTTAGGTAGATGAAAAAGTGGTTGCAATTTGGATCGACTTTACTGACGCTGTAAAACTGTTACGAATATTTTTTATTGAGGTCATTAATTATTTCTTAAAATTTAAATAATTATTATTGATAATGAAATTTATTTTTTTTAATGAAAAACAAAAAAATTCAATAATACTAAAGTTTTTAATTTTTCTGCATTTATTAAATTAGAACTAAAAAGTATTTTTTAAAAATTGCACTTATAGTTTTTCAAGTTTTTTACAAGTGCAAATTTTTCTTTATTTTTTTGTAATAATTTTTCAATTAAAAAAATTTCTACAAATTTTTAGATGTCGGCTAACTTAATTTTCATAAAAATTCAAAACATAAAAGCGAATAATGTTATTTATTGTTATTTGTTTCAGCATATGTGTTACAGTGGTGGTATTGAATGTCCACTTTCGTTCACCGCAAACACATAAAATGGCGCCCTGGGTAAAGCGGGTATTTATCCACATTTTACCACGATTACTAGTGATGCGAAGGCCGCAATATAAATTTGAGCCAAGTCGGTTAGTATTTTATTCATATAAAAATTAAGTAAAGCTACTTAAAAATAATTTCATGCAATAAAATTCATTTGTTAAAAAAATATATAAATTATTAATACTTTTTATTATTATTGTAAAAATTTTAGTAGAACAAGTAGCAGTAAAATTGTATGTGTATCTTCTAGTAAATCTAATTTAATCGATAAGCCCTTCAAGCTAAAGCGTATTTTTATCCAACGCTGGAACTAAATTATTTTTTTATTATATAAATGTTTTAAGATTTTCTTCCGGACGAGTTGTCAACATGAGACCTGTTAGAGGAAAAGAAAAAGCAAGTTATTATCCTTATCATCCTTCGAGTCAAGAAGACAGTGAAGAACATTTAACACCCAAGAGATTTTCTAGCAGACATGTTTCTAAAGAGGATCTTTCACCCTCCAGGTTCTTACTATAATACCAAAAATATTTTTAATTTTAATTTTTATTATAATAATAATAATTCTATTTATTAAATTTTGTTGATTATTGTTATTTTTTAATTATTATCCGGATATTTAATTACCGTCCATATGTTTACATTATCGATTATATTTTATTATCATTTATGTAAAATTTTGTCGCTAAAAAAAATTTAATTTAATTTACTTTATTAATTAGCTAATTAATAATTTAATTATTAATGTATTCATTATCTTACTTGATTAAATATCTAGTTATGAAAAATTACAATAATTATAATTGAATTAAAAATTAAATTTTTAAAAATCAAAATTTTATTTTAAAAAAAATAAAAATTTTATTAAAAAAAAAAAATTTATTAAAAAAAAAATTTTTTATTTTTTAAAATAAAAATTTAATTAAAAACAAAATTTCAATTTTATAAACCAGCCTGGCAGAACAAGCAAGATTTGGAGGAAGCTGTCTGATCCACGGTCCAATACCGCCGCTTCCTTTAAACGCCGAGTGCGAGGATTTACCGGGTGTAGCTGGGATTGAAGATATCAAAAGTCCAGTTCTTAGAAATTCTTCAACATTTTCCCACTCATGTTGCCCACCTGAGATTCATAGATCCTGCATCTGCGTTCGTTTTATTGCTGAGCACACTAAAATGCTCGAAGATTCTACCAAGGTAAAAAAAAAACTAAGAAAAAATAATTATTTTCTAAATATTTTTCAATCTTATTTATGTTATTTATCCAGGTAAAAGAAGACTGGAAGTACGTGGCGATGGTACTGGACAGGTTATTCTTGTGGATTTTCACTCTGGCTGTTTTGGTGGGAACAGCTGGAATTATTTTGCAAGCGCCGACTCTCTACGATGACAGAGTTCCTATTGATAAGAAATTTAGCGAATATGCCAAAGACACTGTCGTCAGGTGTCCTCCTCAATAGTCCTTGCCCTTCATCATCTTACATCGCCATCCTCTTTGTCATCAATATCGTCGTTGTATAAGTATAACAACAATAATAATAATAATAATAATAATATTAATAACAATATGGTAATTATTAGCAATAGTAATGATAAAAAAATAATAGACTATAATCCACAGTAGGTTCGAATTAATAATAAATATTTAAACTTGTATAATAAATAAATAATAATAATAATAATATATGTAATCATATTATATACTTACGGTATATCGGTTGCCAATATGAACAATAGTCTACTGTTGTTGTTTAATTATTATTTTATTGAATATTGAATTTTAAACAGCTGATAAACGGCTTTACTCGCAGCTGTGAAATAAAGTTATTAACAGAATAAGTATTTGTAATATTATATATATATATATGAGCAAAAATAATAGATAATACGTAGCCTATGCTCAAATAACTTGTAACGAAGCTGCCTCCTTTATTATATATTATTTTTTTACGATATGGGGCATTCCATGCGAAATAGGAAAATGACTAAAAATTTTAAATTTCTCTAGTTCATTCTAATTAAGTTCTAATTTATTATTAAAAGTTTACATTTTACTAATTTGTAAAGAAAATTTTTTTTAATCAATAAGAAAATCGATTTTTCTCTTCTAGTAACTTTTCAGCCGTACTAACTTGAATCCGGGTCAAATGTTGTTCTAATAGTTTTAAGAAAAAATTCATTTTATGTTTGTTATTATTATTAACTAACATATTTATTATTATAGTTTTAAAAACAAATTTTTTTATGTTCGTTATTAATTAACACCTAGGTTTATCAAGGTGTTGTCAGCATGCTAAATCCTTTATTTGTGTTTTTTAATTATCTTAAATAATTTATAGTAAAATATATAAACAATAATGTTTCTAATGAAATAATATAAAAGTCTTTTTAATAAAAAACTTTATGTAGACATTTTGTACTTGTCCCACTATGGAATGCCCCATGTGTTATAATTTTTTTGTTACAACGACCTAATTTATTAATAATTTTATCAGGAAAAAAAATTTTTTTTTTATTCAAAGACTTAAAATTATTTTTATTTAATTAAGACTATTTTATTTAAATGGAAAATAAAATAATTGAGCTTTAATTGACAAATACAACCAAGATACTTGAGTGCGTGTAAATACTCGATGAAATAATATGCGCTAGTCAAAAGGTAGGATTACACTACTCGGATTTAATTTTAATACTTTTTTAATATCATCGAAATTCGGAATATAAAATAAATCCGGAGAGTGTAAAAACCATGAGGAGGATTAAAATAATAGTAATCATTTTTTGTTACCATTATTTTAATCAAAATTAATTATCAGTGGATTATTATTATTTTATTAAAATTAAATGATGTATTTAATTGCACAAAAGTAAGAAAAAAAAATTTTACGGATTAAAAATTATTGTTATAAATTTATTTTATAATAAAAAACCGATATATTTTTTTTTTGTAAAATAATAATTACCTTGTAGGTCAACATATATTTCATTAAAATAGTAAGAAAATTTAGTAAATGTGTAAATAATAGAAAAATTTTGAAAAAAATTCCGTAGTATAAAAATAAAAAAAAATACTCCTGAAAAGAAACGAAAACAAATTACGTATTTTGTAAAAAAATAATGAATTATTATTAATAGAAATAAAAAATAATTGTAATATAATAAAAAAAAATAATAAAAAGTTTGATGACTCAACATATTGCCGCGATTAACTTTTAAGCATTTAGTATTATAAGAAAAAGTAAAGCATAACAATTCTAAAGCTGATAGTTGTAGCGAGCTATGAACAACTGAGATCGTTGTTCAATATGCTGTAGTTCGTAGTCGATGTCATTTGTGAGTCGTCTACGTTAATTATTTTTTTAGATAGATGTGTACCTCCCAATTTGTATAATATGAAAATAATAACAATAATAATTAAATTCAAATTAGCAGCACAAGTACTGTGAATTATTGAGACGGAGTTGTTATAAAAACTCGACTAATTTAATAATATACAATACTTTTCTTTGAGATTAATGGAACAAGATCAAAGGAATAATAATAATAATAATATTATTTATGATAGTTGTTATCTTGCCTTGTAGTCCTGTAAATAAAATATATAACAACTAGATCACGATTTAATATTTAAATAAATACTATAATAATTAGAAGTTAATTGGAAATAATTTCCATCAATTACTGCCAACAATATAAATATATATTTGTCATAAGTAATCATAATTGTAAACGATATTTAATCGTTGTATAAATTATTCAGTCAATTTATTTGTAATTAAATTCTTTTTTTTTTATTGAAAATTATTTATTTTAGACAAAAAAAATCTTTTAATGAAAATAAAAAATAAAATTCTGAAACAATAAAAAAAAATAATAGTACGAGCGTGCCTTTTGCTGCTCGCAATTTTATTGAATTTATTAAAATGTTGCACTAATAAATAGATAATTATAATAATAAAGTGGATGAATTATAAAAACAATAAATGGAAATAAAAAAATACGCACACATTTTATATTTTAGCGACGTACGCACTCTGGAATAATATTTAGAAAATTGAATGAAAAAAATAAATAAATATTTGTATAACTTTGAAACAAGGAAAATTAATATAAATAATAAAATTAATAATTAATATTGTGTAAAGTCATAATAAATTACAAGCACTTTAAGAAGTATCGAAGTTAAAGCTGTTAGAAGAAATATACTTAAGCTAAAACGTTTATGTGTAAATAAAGGGATATTGTAAATATTGGACAAAGAAACATTTGTGAAATTTATAGCAAATTTCATTATTTTTGTTTTTTTCTTTTTGTCTAAAGAAATTAATTGCATTATTATGCTATTAATATTATTAAGAGACCTAACAAAAAAAAATTAATAAATAAATAAATAGCGTGAATATGAAGAAAAAAAAATAGTTTGATGATCAACTATATAGAAGAAATATAAATATTAAGTGGTAAAATTTAGAAGTTTGAAAAATGATCAGTAAAAATTTTTATTTTTTGTTACTGATTTGTTAAACTATTAAAATTAATTGAAAAAATTTTATAAAAAGGCTATATATGCCTGCTGTAGTCTAAATATTATTTTTATCATTTGTTAATGACTAACTTTAAATAATAATTATTATTATTATTGCTGTTGAAATTACAATGGATGTGTATTTCTTAATGTTTGTTAAATATGTAATATTGAGTCAGATAAATAAAAAAAAAATAATAATAATCTAATTTAATTTTATAATAATTTGTATATTTATTAATATTATTATTTGTGGATTTATACAAATGATTTAATAATGCTAAATACTATAAAATTTTTTTTTTTTTAATGTAATGTCACTTATTTAAGTAATCAATCTTTAAATCTGCCGATCGTTTCTTCAAAATCTGAAAGTGAATTATTTAAAAATGATATCCAGGATGTACCTCTAGCTTCTACGAACGCAGTGATATAGCCAACTGGTTTCAAGCTTTCGTAATTTTCATTTCGGAAATTTTGAAACTATAAATTAATAATCACAATAAATAATTAAAAAAAAAAAAAAAATATTTTTTTAAATAACAAAATTAAATTTACATCAATAAGATCCTTGTTATTAGTAAATCCACTTCCTACAGATCCAACAAAAGCTCGCAAAATAGGATAAGACTTTTTATATTTCTTCATTATTTCCAGCCAATTATTTTGAACAAATTTAAAAGCCACTTGCGCAGACACTGGATGATCATCAAAAGCCTTAAGAATAATCAAAGCGTCCTGTTCATCAACTATTTCTCCTTTAACTATTTCATTCAAAACTCTAAAAAAGACCCTCAGTATTATTTATTTTCTAATCCGATTAAAAATATTAATAGAGTTAAAACTTACGCTTGTAACATCCAGGGTACTTGGAAGCAAGCCAAAGAGGACAAGAATGAATTTCTGTCAGTATCACGTTTTGTGATGTTTCCTAATTTATCCAGCCACCATTCCCATCCAAGTTGATCCTCGAGCTTAGCAAAAGTACAGAGAAGTGTCTCACGCAGATACGAAGGTACGCTGAACAAAGTTTTGACAGCACAATTAACAACAATGGCACAATATTATTTTTACTGTAATACAATAGTTTTACCTTTGTTTCAATTTCAATCTATGTGAGCGTTTTAGATCCTGGTAATTATTTTTGGCCCAATCAACGTAACCAGGATTTTCAAATGCTGACCCAAACTGATGAGAAATCAAGGTCATTCGGGTGCCTTCGGTTATTTTTAAGCCGACTTGATTGAACAAGCTTGACGTTAATTTTCTCATGAATTTCTAAAATATCAATTTTTATGACATTAAAGTTATCATTTTCGGTAAATATTTACAAGTGAGGTCAAACATTTTAATTTTAATTTTTTTTAACGAAATTTCTATTTGATTTTATCGATATATTTTTTTTTTTTTTTAATACATTAAAAACTAACAATTAAAAAAAAAAAAGTTGATTGTCACAATTTTAACAAATTTTCAAAAAAATTTATAAATTTTTTTAAAAATTGTGATATTCAACTTTTTTTTTTGCTCAGTTTTTTGTATGTACTTTTAAAAAAAAAAATATATATCAAAAAAAGATAAAATAGAAATTTTATCCAAAAACATGAGTCAAAATTTTTTCCAACTTTTCAAGACTTAAAAGCTATCGAAATCTTTATTTTTTTCTTTCACGACATTGTTTATCATAAATGTGCCGTAAAAACAAACAGAAAAAAAATTTTAAATGTTAATTTTTCACCTAGTTATGGTCCAAAATGAAGTTGATCACTTGTAAATAATTACCTCATTTTTTTTTAATATAACATAAATTTTTTTCCAAAAATTTATTTTTAAAAAATTAAATTTTTTAAAATTTCTACTTATTATTTTTTTTGTTAAAAATTATCAACTATCCGCTAAATTAATTGTCATAATTTTTTTTATTAATAATATTAATGATAAAATAAAATATTTATATAGTTACTTGATAATCGGGATAAACTGTGGTATCGTATAAAACAAGATCGAGTTTAATCGCATGACGCATGAGTGCGGTCCAGGGCTCCGGCTGGGTTTCATTTTTCAAATAATTGATAACACTGAAAGCAGTAGCGTAAGACGTTGATCCCACAAAAGCTAAACTTAAAACATCGTCTACCAAAGAAGCTTTTACCGCGGAAGGAAAAATAGCTGGATTATCCTCTAAAGCTTTTGCTATCAATTCCCAATTCTTATCGTCGTAGTTAACTCGAAAGTAACCTAACAATTAATCCTTATAAAACAAAATCTATCATTTATTTTTTAAATTTAATTTAAGTATATATATCAATAAATATTACCTAAAGAGTTTACGTTAAAGATTACCCAGTTTTCTCTGTCTTCAACATCTGATTCAGGGTGTCCTACATTGTCTAATACAGTTTCTTTATTATCGGGATTTATCCAAATTAATGATGGAGACGTCCAATTTTTTTTGTCAATTGTCGCCCAAGTAAGCGGTATGTGCCAAGGTTTTTGGTCATCCAATGTTCGATTGTCAAATCTAAAGCGACTCTAAAAAAAAATTTTATAAAATAAATTACACTGAAATTAACAAACATTTATATTTTTTGGGAGAAATTTCTGTGAAAAAAATTTAATTAAAAAATTCCACATGTAGAAATTAAAAAAATTTTTAAGTGCGAATTTTCAAAAATATTTTTTTTTACAATAATTAATTTTTTAGATAACAATTAAATTATAATCAATAAAATTCGACAAAAAAAAATTATGAAAATTAAATTATATTTAGCCATCTAAAAATTTTTAGAATTTTTTTTTTTATTGAAAAAATTATCACAAAAAAATAAAAAAAAAATTTCATTTGTAAAAAACTTGAAAAACTGTAAGTGCAATTTTTAAAAAATATTTTTTTCTTCTAATTTAATTATTGAAAAAAAAATCTAAAAATTAAAAATCTCGGCTAACTTTAGTATTGTAAAAAATTTTTAAAAATTATAAGTACGAATTTTCAAAAATATTTTTTTTTATTATAATTAATTTGTAATAAAAATTTACAGATGTCTGTTGAAATTTCAGTCATTGAAATAAAATTAAAAATAATAAACAAAAATTAAATTAAATAAAAAAAATAAAAATAAACATACTTGAGTAATTTTAGCAGTTGCTGTTTTATAATCACGATTGATAAACACAACTGGATATCCATGACTATTGATCCAGGACTCCATTACATTTATAAGAGAGACACTGTCTGGATTATCATTATCATCATCATTGTTGGTCATAGCTTCAAGAAATGAATTGACGTCACCATTTCCATTCGACCTAATAACATTGACACAGATATATATGTATATATATTTAAATCAACAACCGACCTTGAAATAACACTCACAGGAAATAACTTATCAGAGGAATTTAAATTTACTGTATAAACAGGATGTACAATAATTTTAATATTATTATTTTTATTATTATTATTATTATTATTATTATTACCCACCACCGTGAAACGAACTTCCTGTAGCCAGTTCTAGAGTCATTTTGCTTCAACACGCCATGCAACATATGTAAAAGACATGCACCTACGAGCAATTGATTTAAATATGCTCAAATAAAATTACATTAGTATTTAATAATATTTACCGCGGTAATATAATTCTTCCGGGTGAAAAGCTTCCAAATATTCTGGATTAACTTTTGATTTCAGGGATTGTGAGACACTGTAGCCGTCTGATTCAAAAGCTTCAAGTTGAACGTCTAATAAAAATGTTGTATGATTAAATGTAGTGTCTATCTAAAGAAAAAAAAATTTTATTATTTAAATCATCAATTGAAATAAATAAAAAAAAAAAAAAAAAAACAAAAAAACAAACTTTTTTAACAAAATAATGCTGAAGATCAATTAATGAACTTTCTAAAATCCATACGTCAGTCCAATTCTGAGAATTGACAGATCCCCCGAGCCATTGTCTGCCAATCAGTCGAATTAATGTTTTTAACGTCTCATATTTAGTCACTCCAGGCGATGTATCACTCACATTAAACAAATTTTCCCTGTAGTTATGGCAATTGATATTATTATTACTACTGTTATTATTTTTAATATTATTATAAATTATAAATGTATATTATGTTTACATAATTGAAATTAATCCGGGATTCCCGGAATTGTCGGCGAAGGGTACGCTCACAATATCCAATTTATTCATAGGAAATTTAACTGAAAACAATTGTTGGAAACTTATAATTACTTGATTAATCATACTATGCAAGTAACTCGGGATCAAATTTTCCCCTTTTTCGCTCCAGAAATTTATTTGAATCTCCTCCCCCTTTCCCGACCCGCTTTTGATAGTTCTGCTGCTGACTGATGTCAAGTGACCTTGAATTACCGCGAGACTGTGGGGTGAAAGGAGTGGAGTCTCTTCAAATGTGTCAACTATCCAGTTATTTGGTCTAAAAATATAAAAAATAAATTAATAAGACAATAATATTAATATTAACAGGAAATTGGACCAAATTGAAAAATGCAGATTATTAAGTACAAATTTTATCTGCTAGCTGTTTTTATTTATTTAATTAATAAAATAAACGAATTTTGTATTAAAAATTTTTATGTTTAATATTTAACACTTTTTCATGTTGATTTAACAGAATAAATTTTATATATTTAACACAAAAATTTTTAACACTAAATTTTCTGCGTTTATTAATTTGGTCAAATTTTCTGTTAATATTATTGTCATATGGGTGTTAATTTTAATGATAAATCAATAAGTATTATTTTTTTTTTTTCATACAGGCTTGCATTGTACATCTTCCGAGTGTTTGAAAGTGCAACCATTCCAATCGGATGAGCAATTGAGATTACATATCGTGCTTTTAATTTAACATCGTCAAAAATAGGAACAAGTCGACGCGCATTGGTAGGTTTTAATCTGCTGGCCATTACCCACCTAAATTTTTAATTTATTAATTATTTAATTAACAATTAATATTCTGTCGGTTAAATAAAATGATAATTACCGATCAGAATCTCTATCACTAAAATTAGTGACAAGTAATGTTCGATTGTCAGTTTGAACTTCGTAGATTATTTCCAGAGAGTAATTTCCGGGTTTTATCCCCGAAACTGGAGTAATTGTTAGAATACCGTGTGCTTCATCAACTTTGCTTTCAGTTATATTTATCTCTTCAATATTAAGTTCATCGTTTGCTATTTTTGATTTATCATCATCATTATTTTCAATGATTTTAAAAGTTGGCTCTGAGCTGTTTGTTATTTCGGAGAAATTACTTTGTATATCCGATTGATTATCAGCAGAACGGGAATTTCTTTCCAGAGATTCAAAAATTTTACTCGAATTTTCGCCTGTAAATAATTTATTGTAAAAAAAAAGGTAAATATTTACAAGTGAGGTCAACCATTTTAATTTTTATTTTTTTGAACGAAATTTCTATTTGATTTTATTGATATATTTTTTTTTTTATGTACTTTTAAAAAAAAAAATATATCAAAAAAAGATAAAATAGAAATTTTATCCAATAACATGAGAGCCAAAATTTTTTCCAACTTTTGAAGGCAAAAAAGCTATTAAAATCTTTATTTTTTTTCTTTCACGACATTTTTTATCATAAATGCACCATAAAAACAAGCAGAATAAAAAAAAATTGAAAATGTTAATTTTTCACCTAGTTATGGCCCCATTTGTAAATAATTATCAAAAAAAAAGTATTAAGCAATAATTATATAAATAAAATAATTTGAAAATACTTTTAGGAAAATCTGCTGGTTGAGATGTTGTGTCATTTGTATTTATAGGTAAATCTGTTGTAGTGTTGCTATTATTGTTAACATTGTCATCATTGAATTTATTGTCAAGCGGCCACATCCTTATCTGTGAAATATTTATGTGTTTGGCATTCAAGACAATGTTATTAAGTTCTTTGGTTCCATTGTAGATAAACTCTATAATGACTCGGCCCTGAACTCGGGAAACTTTATTATCTTCAACAATCGGCGTCAACTTTATGAGATACCTTGAGGGAAATACCCATTTTGAGAGGGAATACTTTTCAGCGTCAGCCGGTTCCGAGCCTTCATCTTCAGCAATAAGCGCGGTTGTATCAAATTCTATCTGTTTAAATAAATAAATTATATAATAAAATTATATCGAGTAAAAAGTTTTATAGGTACCTTTTTACGTGGGAATGCTCCAGCATAAGCTCCAATAAATCCAACAGCAACAAGCAAAAGAAAAATAGCTGTTATAACAATGGCAAGTTTTCTGTGTGATAAAAAGAACCCTCCTTCACGCTGGTATTCAATGCCACTCATTCCTGGCTCACTTGTCATAAATTCGTGGCGATTACTCGAAAATTGCGCCATATTTTCCGCTGTAATAATAATTTTTTTTCTTTAAAAAATATTAAAAAAAAAAAAATTGCTCTTATAATTTTTTCAATAAAAAAAAAAATATGACATTAAAGCTAGCAGTCATTTGACCATTTTTTATTTTTTTTTAACAAATAGATTTTTTCCAAAAAAATTATTTCTAAAAAATTGCATTTTTTATTTTCTAAAATTTCTACCTGTCAATTTTTTGTCATAATTTATTTGTTAAAAAAATCCTTAAAATTTTCTTTAAATAATTTCTTCAATAAAAAAAAAAATGATATTAAAGCTAGCAGTCTCTTGACCATTTTTCAATTTTTTTTTAACAAATAGATTTTTTCCAAAAAAATTGCATTTTTTATTTTTTAAAATTTCTACCTGTCAATTTTTTTTTCTACTATTTTTTTTGTCATAATTTATTTGTTAAAAAAATTCTTAAAATTATCAAATATCTAAATTAATTTCCATAAAAAAACAGAAAACTTTTTAAAAAGCTAATTAAATTTTTGTAATTAATGAGTATTAGATAATAAATATCTGATAAATATTTACCGGTAACCGTCTAAAGTAGTACTAAAACAAAAATTGATGAAACCGTGTGTATATTCAATATATAATAAGAAATAAAGCTACCGTGACGTCTTGCGTGAGAATTTTCATTGTTTTATTTGTCTTATATTTTTCTCTTATTTATAGTGATTAGTTAGATAATCCTCATATTATTAACTAATATATTTAACTTGAATAATAGCAGGTAATTATGATTAAATAGTATGCTCTTGGGGCCAAGATAATCATTTTATTTTTTAACTGTTTAAATTTATATTTATCTTATCTTTAATGTAATCATATTATTAATTGTAATTATAATAATAACATATGTAAGTAAACACTTTAATGAATCATTTTTTTATAAAAGTTTACTCTTATTTATTTTAAAAATTATACAATTTACTTTCATTAATTTTTTTCTCGAATTTTTTTAATGGTCAGAATAAAAAAAAATAAAATGATAAACAACACTAGGACGTAATAATTTAACGTACACTAGTGTCGAGTTGACAGTACTGGTAGTAATAGTAATAGTAAAATAGTATAGTGTAAAAACTGGGTTATCCAAGAGCGCTTTGTGTTTATAGCCCTTGCAATTATAATTGCCGTGTACATAAATCTCATGATAGTCACTGTACAACAATAAAAACAATTAAATTAACTGAAAACTCATTTACCATTCCTCATTCGCTTGTTTGCATTTGATTGATTGCTATTTTGTTTAAAAAGTTTCTAACTTGAGCCTCGTTAAAAGTTTTTAGGGAAAGCTTTTTATTTTTTTTCAATAAACTTATTAATGATTTAAAAATTTTGCTTGGTCGAGTTTTAATTAATTAAATTAATTAAATAAAATACTCACAATTCCGACGACCGAAAGACTCCCATGTATTTACCGAGCCACGTCTCATTGTTTAACAAATAGAGTAATAAATAACAGTATACATATATAATATATAAAACATGTAAGGTTGAAAAAAAGAATATGTTATTATAAGTCTTGTTAACGCTTAACTAAATTCTAAACAGGTAAAGTGCAATTAGCCTGTGTATACCACCTGCGATTGGAATAATACGCGGATGCGATTCGCTAGTCGATCGGTAACTCCCCACCTAAACATTATATATACCTATATTATTACTTGTATGTACTCACTTTTACTCGAATATAATATAACAATAAGTAACAAGTAATTCTTTTTTTTTATTATTATCATTATTATTTTATTACCTTAAAAATTTTTTTTCTTTCATTTTTAGCTTCTATAATTATTATATAGGTTACGGATTAAATTTTTTTAAAAATAAATTAATATTGATGATCATTATATCTACACATATATATTTACACAGTTGTTGTGGATTTTAAGTATATGAATTTAATTTGTTTACTTATATATTGGAGGGATAAAAAGGAATATTTAATGCTAATCATTGAAGATAAAAAAAATTTATTAAATTTTTTATTTTAATTTGAATAAATAAATCTTAATCGAGAAGAATATAGATTTAATTAATAATTAATTAACTAGCAACCTGCTGTCACTATATGATTGCGGAGATTTACGAATTATGAATAAGAATACTTTGGCTTAGTGATCTTTTTTTTATATTTATAATCACAATAGTTCGAGTACTTTTTAAATAAATTTTAAAAATAATAGTACTATCACAGGATCAATTATAAATTATTCAATGGACAAATGTGACGGAACAAATTTATAGAACCAAAAAACTATTAAAAACTTCTCCAAAAAATTGACTACTAAAAAATATATAAAACCAAAAGGCACTAATTCTTGCCTCGACCTTTTTGATGATACCAAATTAAACTATAAAAATTTCTTTAAAAATAATACTATGTTCGTCACAAAATTTTTCTTTCTCTCTCAGTTATTTAAATCATAAATAACTATCGCTAAAAAATATCAAACCCAATTTACGATAAAGTTATACATCAATAAGAAATGACCTTGTATCTTTTGAACTATTGACATTTTTAAAGATATAAGCTCACCCCGACATTACACTCATCGAGACCTTTCATTTGAGTACCTACATCAATTTTTCATATATTTATATATATTATATATATGTATATATGAAAAATATATCAAAAATGCATGTGGGTACTCAAATGAAAGCTCTTAATGAGTATAACATCGGAATAAGCTTATATCTTTAAAATATATATTATATATATGTATATATGAAAAATATATCAAAAAATGCATGTGGGTACTCAAATGAAAGCTCTTGATATGTGTAACATCGGGATGAGCTTATATCTTTAAAAACGTCAATATTTAAGAAAGTACAGTCCAATTAAACAAAAGTGATTATTTAACAAAGCAAAATTTTATTTGTTTATACTTCACAAGTCTCATAGTGGCTGCAAGGTTGCTAGTAATAAATAAAAAAATGTATGCACATGATTGCTAATGTTAGCAGGTAACTAACTAATCATCTATCTATCAGTGAGATCCTCCACAATAATATGTACTAATAATAATAATAAAATTCCATTCATTTTTGATTTAGTGATAATGATAGAATGTAACCCAACTATAATATTTAATATTTCAGATTGGTCTATTGAGAAGCATTATTAGATAACGTTTTCCTCATGTGACGATTGAACCTGTCAATTGGATAATAAGAGTGACGACCCATACTCCCATATACTATTATAAAACTATTCACCTATTACTGAGATTACAAAGATTACTGAGATAAAGTTATTTTACTCAATCAGCGAGATGCTGGTGGTACCTCTGCTACATATTAATAATAATAATAACAATATAAATTTATTTTTTAATGGTTCTGACACGAGGTCCCGAGACGCACCAAGTAGCAATAAGTGATAAAGAGATGGATTGCACCAAATAAGAGAGAACGATAATTGTTAATCTAGGGACGAGGGCAAATTGTCAGTTTGTTCAGGTCTATCTTCAGTTGCAGTTCAACAACTATTTTTATCGTACCTCCAACATTGTATAACTAAAGTAGGTGAAACATCACGTTAATCCTATCTACCTTCAGCTAATTATTATTTATTTTTAATTATATTTCAGATTAATTATTTTATAGAAAAAAAGTTTCAGAGAGTCCAATAATTACCATGAAGTTTATTGGCTCTCTTCTTTATCTTTTATTAATATTAATAACTATTGCAAGTATCGTCACATCGGAGCCTAAGGTAAGTGAATGAATAATGAATAAAAATTATTGTATGAGCATAATTGTGATAGTGAACGATTTGATTGTTTTAATAAGGTAAAAGGATCCCTGGGTATTAGAAAAAGAAATTCAAAATTATCGACTTTATCTAGAAGGAATTCAAAAGTATTGAAAATATTCAAAAGTACTGATAAGAATTTTCATTTTTTTATTTACAATATTTTTTAATTTGTTTTTGTAATCAGGCAAGATCAAGAAGAAGCATTGACTTTAATGATGTAGTTAAATTACCTGGATACAGAATGCCTCGGAGTTTTAAACCAGACACTTATGAACTTGAAATAAAACCTTACACAATAAATGCTACTTTTGTTGGGAGTCTTAAAATATTTGGCAATTGGATCAGTGATGGCTCACGAATAAAATTGGACGCTGATCGTGGTTTGGATATCACTAACATAAATATCCAATGTATCGCTCCGAATACTACGTGAGTTTGTTTATCACTTGTTAATAATTATTAACGCGGTCTAATTAATATACTGAAATTAGCAGTCATCTGAAAATTTTTTATTTTTTAATTTTTATAACAAATTATTATAAAAAAAATTTATAAAATTACACATGTAAAAATTATAAGAATTTTTAGTAAATATTTCAAGTTGGGTCAACCATTTTAATTTTCATTTTTTTGAACGAAATTTCTGTTTGATTTTATTGATATGTTTTTTTTTTTTTAAATACATAAAAAAATGAACAGTTAAAAAGAAAAAAGGTAATTATCACAATTTTAACAAATTTTCAAAAAAATTTATAAATTTTTTTTTTTAAACTGCTCGTTTTTTTATGTACTTTTCAAAAAGGAAAAAATATATTAAAAACATGAAAAGAAGATAAAATAGAAATTTTATGAAAATGAAGTTAGCCGACATTTCAAAATTTTTTATTAAAAAAATTTTAATTAAAAAACTTAAAAAACTATAAGTGCAATTTTTTAGAAAATTTTTTTAGTTGTAATTTAATTGAGAGCCAAAATTTTTTCCAACTTTTAAAGGTAAAAAAGCCATCAAAATCTTTAATTTTTTCTTTCACGACATTTTTTATCATAAATGCGCTGTAAAAATAAGCAGAATAAAAAAAAAATTGAAAATGTTAATTTTTCAGAAGTTATGGCCCAAAATGGGGTTTACCCTACTTTTAAATAAATACCGAATTTTTTTTTTTATCATAGTTAAAAAAATTGTCAAATATTAATCATAAATTAATTGTGTGATAAAAAGGTCGACATTTGAAGATGCCAACGTAGCTGAGCGTGAGCACAATATACAAAAATCTGAATTAAATATCGATTTGGAACAATGGTACACCGGAGGACAAAAATGTATCATAAATATTAATTACACTGGTAATATTTCAACGTCTGACTCGTATGGATTTTTCATGAATTCATATCTGGATACTCTCGCTCAAGCCCAGTAAGTACTTACATAACATTAATTATTTTTTAAATAAAAAATGAAATATTATGTAGTTTAGATTAGTCAAAAAAAAAAATTAGAGTAGAAAAAAATAAAATTTTCAATGGTAGATTAGATTTAAATTTTAAGAAATAGTGCTATCAATGCAATTTTTATTCAAACGACGTACTGTTGTCAGCACATTTCTCGCTACTCATCTGAGACTCAATAATGCAAGAAAACTATTTCCTTGCATCGATGAGCCGGAATATAAGGCAACCTTTGAGCTTTCCTTGATCCGTCCAAAAAATCTCCATTCTCATTCAAATATGCCTCTCATAGCGTCTACTGAGATGTAAGTAGCAAAGAGTAATTAAAAAAAAATTATACAATTAATTATTTAAATAAAAATTTATTTTCAGATCAGGAGAGCCGAATTTAATGAGAGATATTTTTGAAAAAACTCCTGAAATTTCGACGTACCAATTGTCATTTATGATTTCGGATTTTGAAAGTATGTCACCCAGTAGATCTGTTAATCCGACAGAAGGTCGCGCTCCGCTGGAAATAAAAATCTGGGGAAGAAAAGAATATTTGCCAACATTGTCCAAAGTTCCAAATAAAATTGTTACAATTGTTAATTACTTACAAAATTATTTTAATATTTCAATCGGTCTGCCTAAATTGGATCTTGTGGCTATGCCGATGTACACCGCTTCAAAAGCGTCCGACAGTTGGGGTCTTATGTTTTTCAAGTAAAAAATTTTTTTATTAATATTAATAATAAATTTTAGAAACCCGAAAAAAATTTCTGGGGGTGCTTGTTTTTCAGAAAAATTGAGGGTGTGATATTTTGTACACTGAAAAAAAAAAAAATTAAAGAATTTTTCATAATTTTAATAACACTAAAGTTAGCAGACGTCTAAAAATTTCTGATTTTTTTTTTTAAACTAAATTACAACTAAAAAAATATTTCTAAAAAATTGCACTTGTAGTTTTTCAAGTTTTTTACATGTGAAATTTTTTTTTTAATTGTTTAGTTGAAATTTCTTCAATAAAAAATTTTGAAATGTCAGCTAACTTTATTTTCATTAATTTAAAAATTTTTTCCAATCTATTTTTTCCGATTACTTAAATTTGATTACTGTCTTTGTTTATTTTTATTTTTTCTTACAGAGAAAGTGAATTGAGCAGTCCATCAGTTTGGAATACAGCTTATGAATTAATTTATCAATGGATTGGACAAAGAATTACTCCTTTCCGATGGAGTGACGCTCAAGTTAACAAAGCGCTTAATTCATTTTTAGCGTCTAAAACAACAGTAGACGTGAGTGTAAATTAATTTTTTTAAATTTAATATTAAATTAATGAATAAATAAAAATATTTAACAGATTGATCCAAATGAAACGGAGGGAAAATGGCCAATGACACTTTTATACTCTCTGTACTACGAGTTTGGTAAAACATTGCCGTTTACCCGAGTCGCTGGTATAAGACACGAAGCGACGTGCTCAAAAAGTAAGACAAAAAATATAAATAGATGCATTAAAAAAAAGTTTACGATTTAGTCAAGGTCTTAACCGGAGTTAAGAGAGTCTTGTGATTTGTTATTAGAATTGTGCGCGAAGCCTTCGCTGTTGTATGTATTTAATGAATTTTATCTACATCTACAAATCCTCACTCTTTATACATGAGCATACACATAAATCGTGGCAATAATTCTGATAATAACGTCAATGCGTTATTAAATAACTACACTCGTAATTTAAACTACGTGATTTATCAAACATTTCAACGCGTTATTTATTTATTTATTATTTTACAGCTGAATTGGTATTCCGCATGTTTAATTATACACTTGGTGAAGATATTTTCCGTCAGGGAGTCCAAAAATTTATTCACGAATCAGCTAAAAAGTATTTATTATTATTGTATTTTTTTTATTTAATTAAATTATATTTTTATAATAATAATAATAATAATAATAATAATAATAATAATAATAATAATAATAATAATAATAATAATAATAATAATGTGTTGGTAAACAGTCGGAGTTTTTATGCTAATGAAATATTCAGTCAATTGGATGAAGTGAGGGTGAAGAATAATTTAACCCTGCCTAATGACCTGACAATCAGCAGCATCGCAGCGCCTTGGATAAATAGAGACCGTGTACCAGTGGTAACAGTAACTCGCGATTACGAAACCGGAAGTATAACCTTCACACAAGTAAGTTGCTTTGAATATTAGTGATGTTTTTATTATTATTGTTGTTAGTCGTTATGATGCACCATTATTTTTTTCAAGGCAACAATTTTATTCCCTCAATTTTTTTATTATTATTAATTTTTTTTTTTTTAATTATAGAATGTATTTCTTCGTCAAGTACCACCAGCTTCTAATGAAAAAATGTCTTATTTATGGGACATACCAATTATAATGGTATCACAAAATGATTTGAAATTTTCTAAACTTTATCCTAATTTATGGTTGACTAAAAGTGACAGTACAATCACTGTACCAGATTCTACATCCAAAGATCATTTTGTTATTGTTAATCCAGAAGAAATAGGTACTGAATTTATAACACTGAAATTAATAACAGATATCTAACAATTATATTTATATGAAAATTAAATTAGATGAAATCTGAAAATTTTTAGAATTTATTTTATCAAAAATCTTTATTGAAAAAGAATTGAAAGAAAAAATTGGTAATTATTTACAAGTGGAGTCAAACCTATTTTTGGCCATATCTAGGTGAAAAATTAAAATAAACATTTTTTATTTTTTTATTCTGCTTGTTTTTGCGAAGGATTTATGGTCGCGATATCGAAAATATAAAAAAATTAATAAGTATTTCTAACTTCAAAAGTTAGAAAAAATTTTGGCTTATGTTTTTGGATAAAATTATTATTTTATCTTTTTTTGATATTTATTTTTTTTTAAAGTCCATAAAAAATGAAAAATCTAAAAAAAAAAAAGTTGAATATCACAATTTTCTAAAAAATTTATTAATTTTTTTGAAAATTAGTTAAAATTGTGGTAATCAACTTGTTTTTTTTTTTAATTGTTCATTTTTTATGCATTAAAAAAAAATATCAAAATTCTCAAAAAAAAAAAAAAATTAAAATTAAAATGGTAGACTCAATTGTAAATAATTACCAAAAAATTTCACATGTAGAAAATTTTAAAAATTATCCGTGCAATTTTTTTTTAGTTCTAATTTAATCAATAAAAAAAAATGAAAAATTGTTAAATGTTAGCTAATTTTAATATCATAATAATTTTTAAGACTTACAACAATTAAATTATTATGAAAAAAAATTCTACGTATAGGAATTAAAAAAAATATTTTTTTTTTTTT